GCCACCAGGGCTCCAAGACGGCCCAAGAGCGCTCCAAGACCGCCTTAGAGCGTTCCAAGATGCCCTAAGATCGCTTCCAGACGGTCCAAGAGAGCCCCAAGACGGCCCAGGAGGCCTTCAAGAGGCCTCCAAGACACCTCAAGAGGCTTCGAATAGGCCTCACAAGAGCGCCAAAGAGGCACAAAATTATGATTTTTGAATAGTTTTTTAAGGTTTTTGGGGTTCGCGCCTTTCCCGTTTCCCGACGCTCCAAGACGGCCCAAGAGGCCCCCAAGATCGCCCCAAGACGGCCCAAGAGGCCCCCAAGATCGCCTCAAGACGGCCCAAGAGGCCCCCAAGACGGCCCCAAAAAGGCACCAGAAGGCCCCAAGGCGGCCCCAAGACGGCCCCAAGAGGCTTCGCGGCGGCCCAAGAGGCCGTCAATATGGCTCCTAGAGGGGGCCCAGACGAGGTACACGAACGGACTTTGCGGGTCCTCGGCCCCAAGTGCCCCCCCGGAGGGTCCAGGAGGCCCCCGGGAGCCCCCCAAGACGCTCCAAGAGGCCCCCAAGAGGCCCCAAAAAGGCCCCCAAGATGCCCCCAAGACGGCCCCCAAAAACGGCCACCAAGAGGCTTCAGAATTGCTTCTAAGAGGCCTACGAGAGACCGACCACGACATCCCAAGGCTCCATTACGAACGATGACGTGGGCAGCTTCGAACGCCAGAGCTCCCAGTACTAACGCTGGCGTCCAGAGCTTTGACGACAAACACTGCTATGAGCAGAAACGGCGCTTCCCGTTCTTGTGCGGTCAGGTTAGACTCCCGTTGCTCTGGTGGCCTTGCGGCTGACGTGGGCACGCTCCCTTCCGTCTCTTCATTTGTGGTTCAAGCCATTTGGGCATGCGCCTCCCCCCTCTGGGGCAGGCCACTGAGGGACGCCGGGCAACACGGCGGGACCCATGGGGATTCGATAGCATCCCTTAAGGATTCGATAGCATCCCTGAGGGATTATTCAACATCCCGTTAAGGATTCGATCGCATCCCCTTAGGGATTCGATAGCATCCCATTAGGGATTCTATAGCATCCCTTTAAGGATTCTATAGCATCCCTCAGGGATTCTATGGCATCCTTCAGGGGATTATATAGCATCCCATTAGGGGTTCTATAGCATCGCTTAGGGATTCTATAGCATCCCTTTAAGGATTTGATGGCATCCTTCAATGTGTCTACAACATCCCTTAAGGTTTCTATAGCATCCCTTAAGGATTCTATAGCATCCCTTAGGGTTTCTATAGCATCCCTTAAGGATTCTATGGCATCCCTTTAAAGGGATTCTATAGCAATCCCTTAAGGATTCTATATCATCCCCTTGGGGATTCTATTGCGTTGGCATCCCTTAGGGATTCTATAGCATCCCTTCCGGATTCTATAGCATCCTTAGGGATTCTATAGCAGCCCTTACGGATTCTATAGCATCCCCTCGGGAATCTGTAGCCTCTCTCAAGGATTCTATGGCAGCCCCAAGGGATTCGATGGCAGCCCTAAGGGATTCGATGGCAGCCCTTAGGGTTTTCATAGCACCCCTATTAGGGATTCTGTAGCAGCCCTTAGTCCTTTAGGGATTCTATAGCATCCCTTTGGGATTCTATAGCATCCCTTAGGGGTTCTGCAGCCTTCCCTTAGGGTTTCTATAGCACCCCTTAAGGGTTTTATCGCATGCCCGAAGGTTTCGGCTCGGGGGAGCGCACATAGTTTCAGCTCGTGGGAATGCGTCGGCTTTCGTAAGGGCCCCGAAGGACCCAGAGGATTTTCCAAAGGCTTCCTTTGGTTTCTGTTGCCAACCATATGTATGTTGCGTTGCGTTGCGTTGCGTTGACGGGAGCGGGGTCCGGGTCCACCAGTGAGATGTTTCGCCACGAGGAGCGAAACAGCGAGCTGGTGGACCCTCACCGGGTCCACCAGCCAGTTGTTCTGCCTTGTTGTTGTTGTTGTTGTTGTTGTTGTTGTTGTTGTTGTTGTTGTTGTTGTTGTTGTTGTTGTTGTTTTTTGTTGTCGTCGTCCCTCCCGCGACCCACCCGCGACCCACCCCGCGACCCACTCCGCGACCCACCCCGCGACCCACCCCACGACCCACCCCGCGACCCATCTGCGACCCACCCCGCGACCCACCCGCGACCCACGCCGCGACTCACCCGCGACCCACCTGCGATTCACCCGGGACCCACCCCGCGACCCACCCCCCAGGGAGGAAAAATCACCCGGACCAGACAATCGACATTTACTAAAGGGCCTTGGGCGTTGACTAAACAGCCCTGCCCTGTTCGATTCATTCCTTGTGTGCGAGTCAATGGCTTCGCTTGTCGGAGTGATTCTTATGGGGTGGATTTTCTGTCCTCTACACCCGCGACCCACACGCGATCCACCCGCGACCCACCTTCTCCAGAGTCTCGCCAACTGCCGACGACCCCACTGCCCCCTCACTCTTATCCGCACCTGAAGGGTGCTACGGTATTTCAATATTTTTACAGCGGCGTACACATAGAATCCGAGTGTCGGCTAAAAATGGCTGGTTTGAACTGGCACCCGTTGTTTTTGTTGGCCTGTTGAGGAGTGGCCAGGCCAGGCCGGTTGCGCTGCAATTGGTACCACCCGTTTGGGATTAGTCCGACATGCGGTTCAACCACCCCCCTGCCCTTCAAAACCAGGGGAGGACGGCCCCCCCACCCCAGGAAAACTAGTGGGGCGGGGATTTGGACCTCCCCCAAGGAAAATTTGCAGAAGGGGTCTGAAACACCCCCCCCCCCCTCTAGGAAAATTAGCGGGGGGGACCCACCAGACACCCCCCTTTTCCCCCCCCCTCCCCGAAAAAAACATTAGGATGCCCACAACGCCCCCTCCCCTCCCGGCGACGACGACGACGACGACGACGACGACGACGACGACGACGACGACGACGACGACGACGACGACGACGACGACGACGACGACGACGACGACGACGACGACGACGACTACGTACGACGACTACGTACGACGACGACGACGACGGCGACTGCGACGGCGACGGCAACAGCGACGGCGACGGCGACGGCGATGGCAACGACGACGGCGACGGCGACGGCGATGGCAACGACGACGGCAACGGCGACGACGACGACGACGACGACGACGACGACGACGACGACGACGACGACGACGACGGTGACGACGACGACGACGACGACGACGACGACGACGACGACGACGACGACGACGACGACGACGACGACACACGACGCACGACGCACGCCGCACGCACGATGCACGACGACATCCCATAAGTGGCCCAAGACGGTGGCAACCCTTCTCCGACACCGAGTCGCCCGCAATCCCCGACTTTCGTGTCATCCCAGCGCCATGGGCTAGACTAGAACCTCAGCGCTCGAGAAGCGCGCGCGTGTATCTAGTTTACAACAAGGCCAAATAACAGGTGTTAGCTTACTGGTGCTGAGCGTTTGACGCTTCGCGCTTAGTGCGGTCATCGGGGGTCCGCCTTAATGGTGCGGCTACTCCTTCGTTTCTTCCTCGCTTCCCACGCGTTAGGGAGCCAAATAAACAAATGGAGCATCAACGTAAACTGTCAGATCACAAGCGTGATGTCGTGTACATCTCCCTGATCAGACGCCTCTTCCAGAAGTTCTCGAAACATGGATTATGTGGTATCCTTTGTTGTGTTTCCCATGTGTTGGGGGCTTCCTGCGGGATGAGCAGGAGGGAAAAGGAGGCGGTGGAGAAGGGGGAGGAGAACGGAAGAGCGGAAGGGAGTGTGACAAATTTCGGTTCATCTTCTTTCGCTGGGGTCGATGTCATCGTAGAGCCTTTGCTGTTGATATATCGATCGATGGTGTCGTAGATCGACCTGTCGATGTTATCATCGTTGTGGTGCGATCCATCGATGTCGTCGTAGAGCCACCAACAAGGCGCCAAGCTCATTCCGTAGCCATCCTGGCTCAAGTTTGCAGCAGCTCCAACGGTCGGACGGCCCCACCCTCCACGGCTCCTCCTCGACAGCCCCTCCTCCACGGCCCCCTCGCGGGCGGCGCCTGGGGCTGCCCGCCGTGCCCAGCCCCGAGCACGGCCCGGGGCAAGCGGCGAAGGGTGGCTCGGCGGCGGCCTGACGCTCCCGGCGCCCGTGACCCTCCTGACGCCCCAGACGTTCCTTGCGCTCCTGGCGCTCCTGGCGCTCCCGATGCTCCCGACGCCCCCGACGCTCCTCCCAACGTTCCCGACGCCCCCGACGCTGCCCCCGCGCGCCGCTTCGGTGCCCTGCCGCGGGGCGCTGCTGCTTGCGGCGACCTGGAGCGAAGTGGAGGCTGCTCACCCCGGGAGCAGCGCGGCGAGGCACCCGCGGCAGTGCGCGCGGAGCTGCGCGCGGAGGTCGGCCACCAGCTGCGGGCCGCCCTGCGGAGCGGCGCCGACGCCGAGGAGTGGCGGCTCGCGATCGCGGGCGGCGATTTCTCCGAGCCCCTCGCCGCTGAGGGCGTCGCCGCGGGCGAGGAGGACTGCGAGCGCGCCGCCGACGTTGGCGCCGTGGAGACGGTGGAGGAGACGTGGGACCCTCGGGAGGAGAAGCCGGTCCTCACCCAGAGCGACGCTGCCGTATTCATCGGGTGCCCGCAGGTGGGGCGCGCCCAGCTCCATGTTCACCGCGGCCACGCTCCTGCTCAACGCCGCGATACAGAGGTCGTCGTCTGTATCATCGTGAACGACAGCTCCACGTGACCCCGCATCGACGACTCGACCGTCAGCTACCTCAAGGAATGGCGCACGACATTCGCGCCCAACCTGAAGTACGTGGACGACCTCACGTTCTGGTCCCTGGCCAGGAAGGCGTGCGGCTTTGAGGACACCCCCATGGCCGCGGGCCCGATCCTGGGGCTGGAAGCGATCCGCGAGTACCAGCCGATCCTCGGGAATCGGGAGTACCGCTCGGACCCTCCTCTTGGCCACTAGTGGCCGAGCAGGAGCGCGGGCGAGGGGATGGGCCTCCTGTCGTTCGTGCTCTGGTGGCTCACCGTCTCGAAGGAAATCTTCTCCATGGTGAGCCTGAGCGACGCCCTGCGCTCGGTGCCGACCGCGGAGCAGACAGAGATATCCAGCACCGCTGACAGGCCCGCGCTGGTGTCGATGGCGAGGTGGCGGAAAGCCACGGTCGTTGGCGTCCTCGTCGTGCGGTCGTTCGTGTGCTTGGCCCTTGCCGTCTGCGGCACGCTGCACCTTGCCTCGACGATCTCGCTCGGCGACCTCCTGCTCAACGCCGTCGCCCTCGAGGTGCTGTGCTCTCGCTGGACGAGCTCAGCTTCGACGTCCTGGCCTCCCGCTCCATTCGGCTCATCATCTCCTCGACGGCGCCGCTGGCGAAGCCTCCCAGCCCCGCATGGCGTGGCCTCGACGGGAGGCCCATCGTGGCGAGCGTTGCCATCGCTGTCGGGCTCGCACTCGTGTACGGGCTCACTCTGCGGGAGCAGTCGCGAGTTCTCATGGACGCGCGAGAAGCGATCTGTGGCGGCAACCTGGACTTCCTCGCCAGCGTCGACCAGAACGGCACGGTGATCGCCTTCTCAGGAAGCTCCGCAGGAGACCGCACGGAGTGGTATGAGTACCGCGCCTTCGGGAGCTTCATCCTGAACACGAGCGCGTCGTATGCGGACGCGTCCCATGGCTCGTCATCCAAGTTCGTGTGCGCCTTCACCTGCAGCAGGTTTTTCGCTAGAGAGAATGACACACCAGACTTTGGACGAGCTGGGCAAGGTGTTCAACCCGGCCTGCTACGACTATGATTACCCGGGCTCCACGGTTTGGCCCACCCTGGAGGACATCCCCGCCTCCGAGCAGTCCAAGGCGCTCCGCTGCAGCAGCGCCATCGCGACGCCCCAGACCTCCCTGGCGCCCTTCAGCTCTGGCGCGGACGTTGTCCCGTTGTGCGGCGAGGAGTCCACGTTTGGCGAACCGCGCCAGGCAGTGTTGTCTGGTGGCCTGCGGCTGCCACGTCCCGGCCGCGCCGCCCGCGCCCTCCGACACGGTGCGGAGTTACCCCTGCTGGCGTTTACTAAACGGCCCTGGGCGTTTACTAAACAGCCCTGCCCTGTTCGATTTGTTCTTTGAGCACGTTTACTAAAGGCCTCGCGTGTCGGGGTGGTAATTATCGGGGTGGGTTTTCTGCCCTCTATGATGGGCACCCTGGGCTGCGAGGACTGGACCGCGGAGTCCCCACGGGAGCTCTGGGGCGTGGGCCTGCTGGCCGCGTGATTACACCGAGGGCCTGCGCGCCGCGGGGCTGGCCGCCTGCCATGGGCCAGCTCATCCAGGACATCGGACGCAAAATCACGCAGGGCGGCTGCCCAGTAATAGTCTTAAGTCGGGCCTGTCCCTCGACAGGAGGAATATTCAAAAATAGTAAAAAAATAAGTCTGGAGCTGATTGTTCCGACTATTTTTATTCTTCAAGCTTACGCCACATCCGCCGACCCCTTGTTTTTTTTTTCTGGGGCGATGCGCGCACGGGGGCGAAAAAGTTTGAATGCTCCGCGTGCCCACCGAACGGGGACGGGAAGAAACCAGCGTTTTCAGACGGGGGCCATTTGTCGAAAGACCAGAAGAAGAATTATTTCAAGCGAAACAACCCAGTTGTGTGCGCGAAGTGTTTTAAAGCGGGACGAGCGCCGCGGAGAGACCCTCCGAAACGCCCGGCGGAACCAAGTGACGAGCATTGCGACAAGGCACGGAAGTTGCGAGGAATCTGACCGCTGGGGACGGGATGGATAAGGGGGACGTGGAGGAGGGAGGATGGGGGAGCAGCCAAAGGCGGAGAAGGTGAAAAGTGAGCCAGTGGAGGGAATACGAGACAGAAAGCTGAGAGGGGAGACGGGAGGAGGGGGCGGAAGAGGAGGATGAGAAGGAGCAGGAGAACACGACGAGGACGACAATGGCGGCGACAGACTCGACGGCGTAGGCTGGGCACCTTTTTGGGGCCATCTTGGGGGCTTCGTTGACCGTTGTGGGAGCCTCTGGCGCCGTCGTCGTGAGAATCCTCTCGGGGGCCTGCGGGAGGCAGTTTGGAGGCTTCTGGGGAGCTGTTTTGGGGCAGCTTGGGGCTTTTTTTGGGCTTGTTGGGGGCCTCTTGGGGGCTTCTTGGAGCCTCTTGGAGGCCTCTTGGGGCCTCCTTGGCGCCTTTTGGGGCGGAAGGCTAGAATTTTAGGTTCGTGGTCCCCGTCTGGAGCCTTTCTTGGGCCCCTCTGTGGGCCCTCTTGGACTGTCTGAAGGCCCTCTTGAGCCGTTTTGAGGCGCTCTTGGGCCGTGTTGGGGCCCACTTGGGAGCCTCTCGGGTCGTCTTGATGCCGTCTTGGGGGCTTCTTTCGCCGTCTTGGAGCGTCGGAAGCCCGAAAAAACGCGAAGGCCAAAAACGTTGAAAAAACCAATGGAAATCGACGATTTTGGCCTCTTGGGGCCATCTTGGGAGGCGTCTTGGAAGCTTCTTGGGGCGTCTTGGAGGCATCTGGGGCCATCTGGAGGCCATCTTGACCGTCTTCGAGTGTTTTTTCGGCGACTCGGGGCCCTCTTGGACCGTCTGCAGAGCTTCTTGGGAGCCTCTTCGCTCGTTTGCGGCCCCCCCAGCAGACTCTCTGGAGCGGATGACCCCCCCCGGACCGCGCCGGCGGATCCCGGGGAATCCGGCCGGACCCCCCCCCCCCCCTCCAAAACGACCGGACCAGGCTCCGGGGGGAGGGGTTTGGGGAGGGGGGAAGCATCTCACACGCCGATGACCCCAAGGGGTCGGCGGATTTTTGTTTCAATCTGTTTTGACTATGTTTAATTTCCCGTCTAAGATTCCCCTGGAGGGGGACAGGCCCGACCTAATAATAGTCGCGAGCATGTCAGACTTCAGCTGGATCTTGGGGAGCCTTTGCGAGGAGGCGAACCTGTTCAAGTTCCTGCCCATCGCGGCGGTGTGCCCCGTGTCCTGTGGCTGCGCCGGCAGCGGCGGCCTGTTCTGCCCGACCACCTGCTAGCCAGCTCTTCCTGGAGAGCGTCGCGCTGGCCGTTCGGCACTGGAGAGAGGGAGGAGGTGGGGGGGAGGGGGAGAGGCTGGAGGGGGAGAAGGTGACGAGAGAGTGAATGGCACCTTGCATGCGCTGTCATCCTGTCGCGCGCGGGATGGACCACTTGTCCCTCAGCCAGACCAACAGTTCCAGGGCCTACTTTGTACAAGTCGTTTCTCACCGTATGTCGCCGCTGCCGCTGCTCTGGGGTGTAGGCCACGGCTCGCTGCCGCATAGAAAATGAGGCAGAACACGCTGTAGCGAAAAAAAGGCACCAAGCTCATCCAGGAGTTGTTTTTACCATCTCGTGACTACGGCCGTACTCTGGGGGGAAGGGTGGTGGCTGGTAATTCAACGATTCGCGCTGGCTCCGTCTAGGAGTTAGCTCCTCCTAGCCATTCCCAGACGGCGCTGGCGCGACTCCCCATAGGGGATGGGGCGGCGGGGGGGGGGACGTCCTCGGTAACGGGCGTGATCGCGAATCGCTAGAAATCGTGTCCAGCCTCTCCGTTCCGTGCCGCGGCGTCTTGGGACGCGCCCGTGCGTGGACGAAATCGTGCACATGGGGAAGGGAAGAAAAGGTATATGGGACGGTACCCGAAACCAGGAGTCGGTCCTCTGGAGGCGCCTCGATCTCAGCTTCACGGTGCTCCCGCGTCTCTCCCCCGTCGAAGGAGAAGAAGAAAACCAATACATTGCACAACCATACACGTCGGAGCTCCGCGCGGATTCCGTGGATCTTAGCCGGAGCCCCTTTGCGGTCGTAGCGGGCTGACTGGATTTGTGGTCCGTTTGCTCGTCCCGCCGAAGTAGAAGAACCGAGAGCGCCGTACAGTCGGCCCAGATTAGTAGGTCGACCCTACTAGCTCAAGGGTACCTTTGTGTCCTGTGCCTCGCGACACGTGCCATCTTACACTCCAAAGGCGATGTGGCCTTCGGAAGGGTCGTGTGTCGTCTCGCGCGTCCTCTCCAATCGAGTCCGACTGTAGCCAAGACAGAAGCTTTCGGAGGTCGGCGAGGATCCATTGGGTCGGCGCTGGAGTCCCCTGGCGGCGCCACCGGCGCCGCCCCTGCCACGCTCCACGCGCCAGGGAGGGGGCCCAGCGCGGATCCAAGAGATTTGCGCGGACCTCCGAAGATTGTTATTTCTGAGGTGTTTCGTTTTTTAGGTATTCGACTCTGGACCCTTCGTTGAACGCAGCCGTCCAGCTCTCGCGCCGAGACCGCCGAAGACCGCCCGAAGTCGGCCCAGGAGCAATGGGTAACAAGGGGTCCATGGTCGAAGACTCTGAAGTCGGGCACGTCCCTCTACAGGAGGAATTTTCGAAATTAGTAAAAAAATAGTCTGGGGACGATGCTGTTGACTATTTTGGGGTATCTAGGGGTATTTTTTGGGTTTGCATATTTTGCATTTTTTCCCACCAAGATCCGCCTGTAAGGGGGACATGCCCGACCTAATCGAAGACGTGTTTTTTTGCCGCTCACGCCCCCGCCTCCCGCACCTCCGAGATGGGCCGCCTGCGCCTTCGGGGGGGCCGTCGACATGTTCCAGCAGCTCACCGAGGGCAGCGCCAGCCCGTCGATGAGCTACGAGGACCTCGCCGGGCCTGCCGCCGCCCTCCCTGCCGAGCCGGCCAGGATTCTGTTGTGCGTGCGGGGAGGCTGGAAACACGTATGTCAGAGGAGGAAAAGATTCGGATATTGTTGCCTTTCCCCCGTTTTCCCTTTTTGGAGCTTCCTGGGAGGCCCTCGTCGCCACCGCTGGATTCGCCTCGAAATTCTGCGCAGAGCGCAACCTGGGAGAGGTCCGGGGAGTAGCGGTATTAGTACCTTTCGGTTTTCCCCCCTTGCGGGCGGGGCTTGGTTGTGTTGCATGTTTTGTCATGTGGGCTTTCACTCGCACGTCGAAGTCTGCAATGCAGCGCCGCGGTCTCAGAAGTCCTTTTCGCTGGCGCTCCAACAGGGGCCTCGCCTTCAGGATCGAAGGAGTTGTCATCTCTTCCGCGGCGGAAGGCGTCGGCAGGTCGGCGGAAGTAGAACGAGGCCGCCTCCACCGGCGGAAGCTCGGCGGAAGGCGGCGGACGTGAAAGATGCGCCTCCAATAGATGAAAGCGTTTTCGGGTTCGGGGCTTCCGAAATCGCCCACATATGCGGGCCGGGCCTGGTTGTGTTACATGTTTTGTCATGTGGTTTTTCACTCGCACGTCGAAGTCTCCAATGCAGCGCCGCGGTCTCAGAAGTCCTTTTCGCTGGCGCTCCAACAGGGGCCTCGCCTTCGAGGATCGAGGGCCTCCGCGGCGGAAGGCGTCGGCAGGTCGGCGGAACGCGGCGGAAGCAAAAGCCGAGCTCCCAAGAGATAATCACACTTTTGGGTTCAGGGTTTCCAGAGTCCGCCACACATGCGGGCGGGGCCTGAATGTGTTGCATGTCTTGGACTTCTGGCAGTATTTTTTTCGCCGGCCCGCGTAGAATTTGAAACATGGAAACTTACCGCCTGCGCTTCGTTCCCAGGTCCCCGCGCTTTGCGCTTGCAGCTGCGGCTTGCCTCTGCCGCAGGGGACGTCGTTGGACCGAATGGGGCTTCTTGGGGCCACCATTAGGTAGTTGTTTGTTTGCGGTCGGTGCATGGGCTGTTCTTGTGTTATTCTTGTTGCAGGCCCACGCGACCTCGATTGCCCATCCTAACCATTCTGTCCGCAGTGAGTCAAGCCCTTAGTGTTTCCGGTTTGCTTGAAATGGAGACTGTAAACACTAAGTTGAGGGACGGCGAGACTGGAAGCACTAAGAGCTTGACTCACCGCGGGCTGTTTTGGGGAGGCGTCTCGCGGAGAGAACCCTCCCCAAGACAGTTGTTTTTGTTATCATTTCTCAGGAGCGCAGTTATTCTTGTTATCAGTTCTCTTAGGGTAACGCTTCGCCAGAGTGAGCTGTTAGGGGGGCGGCCAAGATCTACGGTCGGGAGCTTTTGCTTGGCGTGTCGCGGCGGCGGCCCCGGCGACACGCCAAGCTTTACGAGCGGATAGCGTGTCGCTCCGCCCCCGTGGCCACGCCTCCTCCTCCTTCTCCTACTACTCCTCCTCCTTCTCCTACTCCTCCTCATCCTCCTCCTCCTCCGCCTCCTCCTCCTCCTCCTCCTCCTCCTCCTCCTCCCCCCTCATTCTCCTCCCTCCTGCTCCCCCTCCTCCTCCCCTCCTCCTCCTCCTCCTCCTCCTCCTCCTCCTCCTCCTCCTCCTCCTCCTCCTCCTCCTCCTCCTCCTCCTCCCCCTTCTCCTCATCCTTCTTCTCCTCCTCCTCCTTCGCCTCCGTGGGGTGGGAGGCTGGGAAAGTCTCGAGACGTTGACGCTTGGGCATTATGCAACGGCTTCCGTGTCGCGCCAAGGCGCAGTTGGCCAGGACCAGCGGAGCGACACGCCAAGCCAGAGCTCTTGACTATAATTCGGCCTCCCAGCTTGGGTCCGAGTAGATGGGGTACGTGGATGGCGCCACGTCGCCGATGCATCGGGGATGCAACCCAATGTGGAGACCCACTTTCTCCACGACAGCGTCGCCGATGCATCGCCGACGTCGTCGATGCATCGCCGATGCATCCGCGATGCGTTGGCGATGCGGCGCGGTCCTCCGACCACATCGATTCGGATCCTGACATCTCCCCAGATCTTATGGCCCCCTTTTCAGGCCCGCTGGGCCCACCCTGGGCCGTGCACGCGCCTCGGGCCATGATTTGCGACCCCCCCCTCTTGGACGCTCCCTTCTTGGACGCCCCCGTTTTCGGTGCGGGCCTGAGTGGTCCCCCCAGCGCTGACTCGTGCGGTCGGTTCTGGCCCCCTGAAGCCGCTAGCCGGAGGTCACCCTTGCCCGAGGTCCCTCTTGCGCGCAGCTGGAGGATGACGGAGCGGGGGGGCCCTCGCCCTGCTTGGCCCTTCTCAGGGTGAGGATGGAGCCGGTGCTTTGTCGCCCTCCTGGGGGCCGCCTGCCGGGTGGGGGGGGGGTCTGCCAGAAGTGTGCTCGTGGCATGGGGGGTCCCCGGGGTGTCCCCCCCGCGCTCCTCGTGCCTGTCCCCGAGATTTTGGGGGGCGCCCGTGGGCCAGGAGCACCTCCGGCAACACATGGATCCTGGGGCGCCACACGCACACCGTCAGAACCGCTCTCCTTCAGACGCGCTCGTGCTCAGGCGCACTGGTCCATGTCCGTTCTTGGTATATGCTCCTACTCTGCCACCCAGCTGGCCGATGGCGACGGGGGGGGGCCCGTCTTACCCGTCAAAAAATAACCCGACGGAAGGATCCCACATGATATTCTCTTGGATGTGAATCAGACTCACCCTCACGGAAGACTAACGATGGTTATGATGCCAAGGTGCGAGGATACCAGGATGCGGCGTGTGAGACCTTTGAGACCTGTTGGGCCCGTGGGAATTGTGCGATCCGTGGGGCTTGTTGGACCCGCGGGCTCCAGTTGGCAGGGGGCAGGGGGCTTCCGCTCGAGACTTCCTCGCTGCGCACTCACAGACGAGGACCCCGCTCCAGACGTACTCACGATGTGCGCGACTGGGATGCTCAAGTATCATGCTTGGTACAGTGTGTCAATGACTCGCTCGATTCCCAACATGATCTGCGGACTTCATGGGGAGGGGTGCTCCAGCCTGAGATTCTCTCGCACTTCGCTCACAGACGAGGCTCCCGCTCGAGACATCCTCACGAGTTGCCCCCTTCGGGCGCTAACGTGTTATGCTTGCTAGAGGAGGCCAACGACCCTCTTGGATAATAAAACGTGACCTTCTGGACCCATAGGGAGGTCGATTCCGCTTGAGATGTCCTCTCATTTTGCCAGACGAGGCCCCCGCTCGAGGCATCCTCACGATGTGCGCCCTGGGGTGCTCAAGTGTTACGCCTGCTTCAATACCCCGATGGCCTGCTCAGATTACTGCCATGATCTGCGGGCCCCATCGGGAGGGGGCTCCCGCCTGAAGCTTCGTCGCGATGCACTCACACACGAGTCTCCCGCTCGAGACATCCTCACGATGTGCGCCTCTTGTGCGCTCAAGTGCTATACCTGCTTCAGTAAGCCAACGAGTCGCTCGGATTACCAACATGATCTGCTCGCCCCATGGGGGGGCGGCTCCCGCCAGAGGCTTCTCCGCCATTCACTCACAGACGAGGCCCCCGCTCGAGACATCCTCACGGCTTGCCTCCTGGGTCTGCTCAAGTGCCATGCCAGCTACAGTAGGCCAATGACCCGCTCGGATTGCCAACTTGATCCGCGGGCCCCATACGGAGAGGGTTCCCGCCCGACATTTTCTCGCAATGCAGTCTCAGACGAGGCCCCCGCCCGAGACATCCTCACGATGTGCCCCCTTGTGGTACTCGAGTGCTAGGCTGGCTATAGCACACGAGTGACCCGCTCGGATTGCCAGCATGATCTGCGGGCCCCATAGGGAGGGTGCACCCGCCAGAGACTTCCTTTTCATGCGCTCACAGACGAGGCCCCCGTTCGAGACATCCTCACGATGTGCGCCCTGGGGTACTCAAGTGCTATGCCTTCTACAGTGCGCCAGTGACCCGCTCGGATTGCCAACGTGACCAGCGGGCCCCATGGGGAGGGGGCTCCCGCCTGAGATGTCGTCGCCATGCACTCACGCACGAGGCCCCCGCTCGAGACATCCGCAAGATGTGCGCCCTTGAAGCGCTCAAGTGCTATGCCTGCTACAGCAGGCCAATGACCCGCTCGGATTGCCAATGTGATCTGGGGGATCCATGGGGAGGGGGCTCCCGCTCGAGATTCCTGCGCAGTTCCCGCACAGACGGGGCCTCCGCTCAAGACATCCTCGCGATCTCCCACTTGGGGCGCTCAAGTGCTATGCCGTCTACAGAAGGCCAATGACCCGCTCGGATTACTGACATGATCTGCAGGCCCCATCGGGAGGGGGCTCCCGCCGAAGATTCCCTCGCGATTCACCACGGACGAGGCTCCCGTTCGAGACATCCTCACGATGTGCCCCCTTGGGGCGCTCGGGTGCGATGCCTGCTGCAGTACAGTAGGCCAATGACCCGCTCGGATTACCTACATGATCTGCGAGCCCCTCGAAGAGGGGGCTCCCGCCAGAGAGTCCTTCGCAATTCACTCAGACACGAGGCTCCCGCTCGAGACTTCTTCTTGGAGATGAATGTGTGAATGTGTCCCGCCTGGGGTACTCTCAAGATAAATGCGTGAGTGTGTGAGTGGGCGATGGAGTGTTTGTGTGTGTGTTGACGATGACAATGGTGAAGATGCTGATGATGCGATGATGGTGACCACCAACGGTCAGGATAGGGTGACGATAGTGATGAGACTGGTGGTTTGCGATGGTGATGATGATGTCGATGGTGATGGCGATGGTGGGCGATGGTCCTGATGGGACGGGGATAGTGGTGATGGTGGTGGTGTGATGGTGATTGCGCGTGTGAGGCTAGGCAACGAGGAGAGGGGGTTTGAGGACCATTCTCCTGCGCGGGGGATGCGCAAAGAAATCCGAGCCCACTTAGGATGGTGGGAACAATGCGAAGTCCACGATTCTCGTGTCAACATCGACATTACGTCGCCCATGTTGCAGAGCGCGTGGCGGGAATGGGACGGGGCGCGCATCCTGGCTGAAAGGCTGAAATGTCGCTCTCGCCCCGGCGCCACGCTCATTGTTCTAGAGAATCGAGTTCTTGCTCTGGCGCGCACGCAATTTCGTCGACGCTCGAGCAGACGCAACTGTCGCGCTCGCTTCGCTCCCACCTCGAGGTTGCGCATGTTTCTCGCTCGCCCACTTCCGAGGGCCCGCGCGGGTGGGCGACTTGTCGTCCTTGCCCAGGTTCCGTGCACATTTCGCTTGGTCATGGCGTTCCAGCGCGGGCGCGGCGCATGGCTCGTCCGCCGAACCGCATGAAGGCGACAGCGGAGCTTGTGAGTGAAAGTGGCGGTTCTGCGTCAGCGCGGTGCATGCTTCGCCCTTGCCGCGCCCATCGGAATCTGTGCCGTTCCCGCCCCTGCGCGGCCCGCGCAGTCCTCTCCTCGCCAGGTCGTCGGAAACTGGGAAGCGCGCGAGCGTGTTCCGTGCTTACGAGGCGAGAGCGCGCTCCAATCCCATTGCGAAGTGGTACCAGGCTTGATTCTGATGTTGTGGGAACGAGGTGGGAATAGGTGGGGCCCTCGGACTCGCCCGACCTCGCTAGCGCAACACTCAGACCCACCCGCACTCATACCACGCACGCGTAGATACACCCGTGCGCATCTTAGTTGCGTCCACACACACACAGAGGCCACTCACGCTCAGACCATTCACGCCCCGACTCACTCACACCCCGGTCCATTCGCATTCATCTTCACCCACATTCGATCGCTCATGCTCAGATTCACTCACGCCCAGACTCGCTCGTACTAAGAACCTCCTTGCGCAGGTCACCACGATCCCCCGAACACCGCGATGTAGCAGGCGTGGTACTTGGGCACCCAATGGGGAAACCGCCATGGGGCATGTCATTTCCAAGTTCGCGCTCAGATTGTGAGAATGTCTCAGGCGGCTTGCCTCTTTTAGGAGGTCGACGCGTCTCTGTTCAGATTCCCGTGTTCACCGCGATGCAGCAGGTTTAGTACTTGGACACCCCAGGGGAAAATTGCCATGGGGTATTCAATTTTCCCATTCGCGCCCAGAGTGTTTGGATGTCCCGAGCGGCTCGCCAGTTTTTGGTGGTAGACGTGTCTATCTGCAGAGCGCTCTCATCACCGCGATGCAGCAGGCATATCACTTGGGCACCCCAAGGGGAGCCGCCAGGTGGTACTTCATTGTCCTGTTCGCGCCCGGATTTGGGGGATGATTCGGGTGGTTCGCCTCTTCTCGGAAGTCGACGAGTCTTTGTTCAGAGCCCTTTGGTCATTGCGATGTAGCAGACGTAAAACTTGGGCACCACAGGGGGAAATCACCATGGGGTAGTTAATTCCCCCGTTCGCGCTCATATTGCGGGATTTTCTTAAGTGGTTCGCCAATTTGTGCAGGTATACGTTCATTTTCAGGCTCTTTCACATTCAGACACATTCGTGCTCAGTCAGCGTCCTCACCTCCCAAATGCGTCCATGCTGCTGCGAGCGTGCACACGGCTGCGCGCCTGAAAACTTACGCGGGTGCTCTGCCAGACATCCAACGGCGAGCGAAACATATTTGCGAGGCGGTGGTGGAGAGCAGCAGAAGACGCGGTTTACACTCACTCAGTTGCCACGGGCTAAGACCTCTCGCACACGCAGACCCTCGCACCGAGAAGTGCCACGAACTGATGTGCATATTTAGGGGACCTCCGCGTTGAATAAACCTTGTCGTCCCGCGCCCTTCTCTCCGCGCGCCCCTCGGGCGCTCGGCCTGCGGAGCAGACTGGCGGCGTCGTCGTGCCCAGTGTTGTGTCGCCCCCCGTCGCTTGTGGAGATTTCTGCCTCCTCCCCTCCTCCCCGCGTCGTCGTCATCCCCGAATATTGCGTTGCCCCCCCCCCCCCCCCCTGCGGGTGTTTACGCGTCGTCTCCTCGCGTCGTCGGCACGGTCATTGTCCTTGACGTTGCGTTGCACCCCGCCCTGGAGACATGTACTCCTCCTCCCGCGCTCGTCGTCGACGTCGGCTGTGCATGAACGTTGTGACGCGACCCCTTTTGCCCAGTCGTCGTCGTAAGCACCCCGCCAGACAACTCCTCGCTGGCCACGTGTTCTGCTAACCGCCTGGTCGCATTAGTCGTCGCTGGGATAGGTCACACCAGGGGGTAAAAAACACTGTTCCTTGGGCTCGGCGTCAGAGGTCTGGGGGAGACGAGCTGGTCCTGCGGAGGGGGCCGAGAGGTCCAGGGGAACCAGGCCAGGAAGAGGTGGCGCCAGAGATCTGCGCCGGTCTGGGGCAACGCTGGACAGGCTCAGGGAGAGATGCGTCGACCCCGCCCGCTCATCGCTGCGAGGGGCCTGACAGCTTTCCCAGGGAGGTGCGGGTTCCTCATCGGAGGCCCAGCGCCGATCTCTTGGCGATGTATCGCCGATTCCAGGGCGATATCCCCCCCCCGGAGCCAGCCCTCCGTTTCGCCAGCACTACGCCGTGCACAGACCACCAGTGCCGACGTGCCGACTCCACCCAGCGACGCGGCACCGCCGACAAAAGACGGCATCGACTACAAGGAATCCTCCTCTTCCTCCTCCTTGGTCTGCATAACGTTTTTTCATGTCTCGCGTGCATGTCTCAACACACACTAAAACGTGCATCTCGAGGCTAAGGCCTCACCCGGCTGGTCTCACGAGGCCCGGACACTTGTCCGCACTGCGGGTTCGTTCCTTCGTTCCCTGTGCCAGTACCCCCATGTCGTTCCCACTCAGTTGCTGTGCATGCGGGAACAGGCCAGGCTTGCCACAGCTGTGGTCATTACATTCCCCCTGGGGAAGCCCATCTTCGACCCCTCAGTCGAGGGATCGTCGATGGGTTCTCCCCTGGGTTGGGGGGCGCACAGCACCCCCCAACGAGTACGCGTAAGAGTGACCGTCCGCTGCAGCGACCTTGGTGCGGACCCACAGGGCCCCCCCCAGCACTGGCCTGCTTGCCTGGACGCGCCTCGCCTCGCCCCCCCCACCCCCCCGGGACCCCTAAATTAAGGAAGCAAAAGCCACCCGCACCCGACAATTGGCGTTTATGAATCGGCTTTGGGCGTGTATTAAACAGCCCGTTTTGGGGTGGTTACGATGGGAGTGGATTTTGGATTTTATGCCGTCTACGAAAGCCGCACACCAAAGGTCACTCAAGCGTGGGGTCACTCCGGGGCGTGGCCGACACAAGCTGTGGCCGGTCGGCGTCGGGGGCCGCTGGAGAAGCAGAGCAGCTCGGGCGGAGCGGCCTCGAAAGGTCCGATGAGCCCACGCCGCGCCGGGGTCGCGGCGCTGGGGGCCAGGGGTGTCGCGCGGGCGAGAAGAAGCACGGTCCTCGGACGCAGTGCATTGTTCAATGTGTGGCCCCCCCATGAGCCCTCGACCCCATCGCGTGGACTTGTTCTTCCGCCAGCATCGCTTCCAGTTGATCCCAACACGAGCCTCTGGAGGCCGAGATCAAGGAGGAGCGTGGGCTCCGAAGCGGCTGGCACTGGGCGAGGGCCAGGCCAAGCGCTGGGGGCGCTCTCCCCGTTTTCAGGTTGCCAGTTAGCGGTCAACCAAAACGGAGAACAACAACGGCAGCCAAAGACGCAATCAAAACAGCAGTATTAAAACGGAACCGAGCCGAAAACGGCGCGCACGAGAATCCCAAAACGGAAACCAAGCGGACCTTTACACGGAGAACTGAAACAACGTCGTCGTCGTCGTCGTCGTCGTCGTCATCGTCGTCGTCGTGGTCGCCGTCGTCGTCGTCGCCGCGGCCACCGTCCTGCTTCCCGGGCGCCTCGACGAACTAGTTTCAATATGCTGAACTAGGGACCTGCTCGGGCTTAGAAGGGGCCCTGGTTTTCGGTCCGTTCCTTAGGTCCAGGTCGACAAGCCCGTTCGTGGCCGAGGCTTTCCGTTGCAAGGAAAGTCCCGCCGTTCCTTGTTCAGCGTCCCTTGTTGCAGCACGATGACCATACACCTCTGGGCCATAACGCGCGTTATGCCCCCTATACCCTCCCCCCCCCATGACGTGACGCTTCCCCCAGCAGTGCGTCCCCGGCACTGCCGCAGTCTGGGGAGGGGGTGCTGGGGGGGGGGGCGCTGCGTTACACCCCCCCCCCCCCCCTCCCCTCAGAACGCCCGTTGTGGCCGTCCGCGGACAGCACGTGCGCTGCATGCCCCCAGTGTTTGAAGCGCCATCCGAGGGCCAGGCGCCCCCTGCAGCGGAGCGACGGGCCGGGCGCATGCACGGCCGCCCTGCCGCGGCCCCTCCCGGGCCTGCCGCCGGGGCGGCGCCGAGGCGTTCTCGCGCGCCTGCGACGCCCACGGCTTCCAGGGCAGCAAGCGTAAGGTGTTCCACGAGGCGCCGCGGCACGGCCGGCTCAGGGACAGCGTCAGGCATGCTCGCGTCCTGAGCAAACATCCGGACGGGAGGGTTTTGGTCGTTTCGGGCCTCACGGGGGCTTCACAGGGCCCCGGGGCCGTCAAAAATTACCCAGGATGAGAAACCGGTCCCAGGGAAGGGGTCTAGACCTCTTAGACTTCTGGGGACGCCATCTTGAACAGATCGAGACGTCGAATGTCTGAGGATGCGGTCCGAGTAGATGGGGTCGGAGGATGGCGCCGCATCGCCGATGCATCACCCATGAGGCTCGATGCGGAGCCCGTTTCTCTCCGCGCTGGTGTCGCCAATGCACCGCCAACGTCGCCGATGCATCGCCAATGTATCGGCGATGCGGCACGATCCTCCTATCCCACCTGCTCAGATCCCATCTCGGAGGTATCTGGTTAGGGCGCGATAGTCTCAGTCGCCCATGGATCGCCGATACGAGCCCGAAAGCCCACCCCGCCCAGGCATGTGCGGATTTGCTATCGGGTGCATGTCGCCGAGCCATCGGCGATGTATTGCAAATTCCACTTCGATGGTTCCCCCCTGTGAGCCAGTCCCTTCCCATCGTTGCGCCTCACTGGCGGCAGACTCGGCCTCTGCGAATCAGGATCGCCCGCGCTGGCGCGCGTCGACGATGACGCTGGTCGGTCCGCAGCGTCGAGCAGACTCGCTGGTTGCACGCACAGCGGACCTCGTCCGTATGGGCGCTGGCCGAGATTTCGATCGATTCTCAACGCGGTCGGCGTTCTGGGGGAGCGCGCCGATTTCGGCCAGATTTGAGGTCTCTGGGGGCCCCTAACCCTCCAGTTCCCCGATAGCGTCCCTCCCTACCTAGCTACCGAGTTACCTACCTACCTATCTACCTACCTACCTACCTACCAAACTAACTAACTACCTACCTACCTACCTACCGGCATACACATACGCCTACATGAATACATGTATACATACATGCAACCATATTCATATACGTGCATACATGAATACATACATACACGCCTACTTACATACATACATACATACATACATACATACATACATACATACATACATATACACATACATACATACATACATACATACATACATACATACATACATACATACATACATACATACATACATACATACATACATACATACATACATACATATACATACATATACATATACATATACATATACATATACATATACATATACATATACATATACATATACATATACATTTACACATACATATACATATACATATACATACACATACATACATACATACATGCATGCATGCATGCATACATACATACATACATACATACATACACACACATACATACACACATACATACACACATACATGCGTACATACATGCATGCATGCATACATACATACATACATACACCCCAACCTACATCCACACATGCACACAAACATGCATGCACACAATCATGTATGCATATATGCATACACAGTCACACACATACATACATACAGACAGACAGGCAGACATACATACATACGTGCATGCATATATACATACAATGGTTGATCCGCGGGTCGAGAGCGAGCCTCTTCCGGTCGAAGCTCAGCGGGCCGTACATACATACATACATGCATACATGCATACATACATACATACAAACATACACACATGCATGCATGCATGCATGCATGCATGTATGCACACATCCGTACACACCTACACACAGTCACATGCACATACACATATAGATGCATACATGCATACATGCATACATGAATGCATACACGTATACATGCCTACGAATATTCACACATGTATGTGCACATACGTACCTTCAACACACATGCATACTACATGCATACAGACAGACAGACAGGCAGACTCTCGGCCTCCCACGTTGCCGGGGCGCCCCCCGGCCACGCCTCGAGGGCGCGCCCCAACCGCGCTTGGGAAACGAGGGGCATGACGCGGAGAAGAGTTGGCGCGCCGCCGAGCGTCCAGGCAGAGGAAGGAGGAGGAGGAGGAGGAGGAGGAGGAGGAGGAGGAGGAGGAGGAGGAGGAGGAGGAGGAAGGAGGAGGAGGAGGAGGAGGAGGAGGAGGAGGAGGAGGAGAAGGAGAGGGCGGAAACGCCGCCCCGCGCCGGCCGCGGCCGCAGCGCCGCCCCAGCCGCCGGCGGCGGCGCAAGGCGTGGTGGGCCGCTCCAGCGTCGGGCCATGGCCCGCAGCCCGCGTCAGCTCGCTGGCCCGCAGGCAGCGGTGGCCCGCGGTCACCCAGAGCTCGGCGGCGCAGGAAGTGGCAGCTTCTGTGAGCGCGGCTGCTCGTCGCCCTCAGGGGTGGCGGCGCAAGCCCGCGGCAGAGCGGCGCTGCAGCCCCCCGCGTCGCCGCGGCGCGCCGGCCTGCTGTTTCGCCGTCGCCGGCAGTCAGAGGGGCCAGCGCGGGCCCGCAGGGGCGCGCGGCCGGCGCTCCCAGCGCCGCTGCGCGCTGCCGGCGCCTCAGCGCAGGCCCGCGGCGGCGCGCAGCTGCCGCGCCAGCTCCCCCTGCAGGCCCCAGGCGAACGCGCGGTGGGCGCGCGCGAGCTCGCGGGCCTGCTCGGCGTCGGGCAGGCGGCGCACCTCGGCTTTCAGCCAGAGGCGCGCTTCAGCGCCCAGTCGCCCCCCCGCCGAGGACGAACGGGGTGAGGCGCTCTCCGGGGTAGCGAGCGTGTTTGTCCCGCTCCCCGCGCCGGCTCGCCTCGCCGTCGCGGCGGGCCGTGAGTTTTGATAGCTGTGATGTCCCTCCGGATTGGGTCCAGCTGTGTGCGTAGAACTTGTTCGAAAGCTCCAGCTGTAAGGGGCTCTGGACTGGGTCCTGCTGCCGCTGCCAGACTTTCTTGAAAGTGCCGTTGACGCCGTAGTTGGGGCCCATCGAGATCAATTTCTGCTCCTGCAGCGATGTTCGTGTCCTGTGGCGGGCTTCTTGTCACAGCCTGCTTAAGCACACTTTTTACCGGAGTTCCCATCTGATGTTTTCCGACGGCATCGTTAAGTTGGAAAGTTCCCGAAGGGGGAGTGTAAGGAAGGTGCAGTTCCCGGACACGGGTCTCGGAGAGAATTGGGGCGGGAGGCTTGAGCCATGTGGGGGCTGGAGCCCCCTTGAGCCAAACTTGAGCCAACGATTCCGGGCGGGGAGTTCGGTTCCGGGCGCTCGTGGGGGGGTGGGGGGGCGTTCGGGCGGGGATACGATCAGGAGGGTTGAGGGTGAGGTATACATGGCAAGGTGCCTGGGACAGGGTGCGTAGGTGCGGGTCGTAGTGACCATTGTTGGGGGGTGTCAACATTAGGGTCTAGGTGTGAGGAACCCGGGGGCGACGGTTGATGTTCCGGAGGATTGGGGGGGCGCTCCCGCAGACTGGACAAAGGAGGGGAGGGGGGGGCCTTCTGGCAGGGGGGGTCCAAATGAGGGGGTGTCAGAAAGGGTGGGAGGAGGGGGGGGAGTTTCCAGAGGCCAAGAGGGGGGAGGGGGGGGTAGCTTCGGGGCGGCGACGAAAAGGGAGGGAGGGGGGGGGGCTTTCGGCAGGGCGGGTTGAAGGAAGGGGGGAGGTAGCTAAGCCCTTCTCTCCCTTTCGCACGGGGGGAGGGGGGAGGGGGGGGGGGCTTCCGGAGGGCGAAAGGGGGGGAGGGGAGGGGGAGCTTCGGGACGGCGACAGAAAGGAGGGGATGGGTGGGGGTTGCCGGCAAGGGGAGTCGAAGGGAGGAGGGGGTGGTCAAGCGTCCCCCCACCTTTGCAAAAGGGGGGGGAGGGGGGGTTGGGGGAGCTTCCGGAGGCGGAAAGGAGGGGAGTGGGGGTTAGCTTCCGCGGGGCGGACAAAAAGAGGGGGGAGGGGGGGGAGGGGGGGGTGGAGGGTAGGGGAGGTCCAAGGGAGGGGGGGGTGCAGCTAAGGGGGGACCCCCCCCCTTTGCTCTGGCCCTGCGGGCGCGCTCTCTCATAGATGTGTGAAGTCAAAGATATGGTCATATGTATACATGTGCAAATGTGCAAGCATATCCTACCTTATGGGTGTGTAAAAGTATGTATACACATGTGCGTGCTTCCTTCCGCGCCCGTCAAGTCTGCAGTATTTGTCTCCAGTTTCCTCCTGAACGAAGGTTCCCCCCAAGGGCCCGAAGATACTCGCGCTTCGCGCGTCGCGATCAGGGCTAGGACAACTGGCCGTCTCCAGCGGGGTGGCGCGAGGGCGCGCGAGGGTGCGAAGGTAATCATGCATTGCGGGGCGCGATGCGCGAAGTTCAGTGCTTTAGATTTCCGCAGTGTTCGTTTCTCGCCCACCCGACATGCAATTCGTCCATGAAGAGTGTTTTCCAACCGCTTGCAATTTCGGGCCTGCCTTCTTTCGTTTGCAACCCAGGGTCATGTGCAGCCCTTGTTGACAGCGCCGTGGGAGCAAGCAACCTGAAGGTGAGCATAATGATTTGTAGAAGCGGGTGAGCCGCAGTCACCACTGAAGGTGCATTTTGCACGCCGTATGGGTTGGTGTTCGGTTCTCGCCCTGGAGCACTCGCGAGGTGGCAGTCGATGGCGTGATTGCACCCTCGCGTGGGGTCGAGGTTTACCCTGCTGCCCGCTCCCCGGATTTGCTGGCATGTCGTCAGTCTTTGCAGGAAGCATCCAGTTCACGAGAGTCTCACACGCTGGTCCTGAGCCTACGAATGCCGTTCCGAGGTAGTGCGCGCCGGAGAAATTTACACTTTCGCATGCAGGGGGTAGAGTGATCCTGGTGACGTGTTCATCGCGGTGTCCAGACCATGATGAAGCAGATCGCGGGACCAGTCCATCTTCAGAATTTCAAGGCAGCGGGTTACCCAATTCAAGGTCCAGATCACGCCCAGCGCGCGGCCTATAGTTGTCAGTGAACTGAAGTAGAAGTGAGGGCAACGCGTAATTGCAGCCCCAGGCTTTGGACATCGATGGACTTGGAGAGATCTCCATAAAGGACATGGCCTTCCTGGAGCAGGACGGCTTAGCAGGGCGATGGAGGTGGCCGGATCGAACAGATGGAGCACCCAGGACCAGGACATGTGTCTATTACGTCTGTATGTATGTATGGATGTATGCATGTATGTATGTATAAACGTTTAAACGTATGCAGTATGCATAAGTGTATGTCGACATGTAGGCACGCATACATGCAAATGTGTATGTATGCATGTGTATATATGTATGTATGCATGCATGCATGTATGTATGTATGCATGTATATATACATGTATGTATGCACGCATGTATGCATGCATGCACGTGTGTATGTATGTATGTACGTACGGACGTGTGTGCACTTGTATTAGACAGGTAGGTATGTAGGTAGAGAAAGGGAAGGGGGATGTGTGTATGTGTGTCTGTGTGTATGTGTGTATGTATGTCTGTATGTCTGCATTCGTGGATTCATGTATGTATGTATGTACGTATGGACGTGTGTGCGTTTATATGTAGGTAGGTCGGTAGGTGGTTAGGTAGGTATGCATGTGTGTATGCATGTATGTATGTGCGTATGTCTATGGACGGATGGATGGATGGATGGTGTGTGTATGTATGTATGTACGTACGTATGTATGTATGTGTATAAATATAAGAATGCATATATGTATGATTGTTATATGTATACATGTGCGCGTGTGCGTATACATGTATGTGTGTATGCAGGTGTGTAAAACTAGAGGTATTTGTCTTCGTTGTATGTATGTATGTAGGGGCACGTACGCACGTACGTATGTACGGATGTATGTACGTGCGTGTGCCTATGCATGTATGTATGTATGTGTGTATGTCTGTGTGTATGTATGTGCGTGTGTTCATGTATGTATGTATGTATGGATGGATGGATGGATGGATGTATTTACATGTGTGTACGTATGTATGTATGTATGGATGTATGGATGTTTGCATGCATGTATGTATGGATGTGTATATGTATGTATGAATGTATGTTTGTGTGTATGTATGTTTGTACGTATGCATGCATGCATATATGCATGTATGTATGATGTATGCACGCACGTACGTGTGTATGTATGTATGTATGCATGCATGCATGCATGCATGCATGTATGTATGTATGTATGTATGTATGCATGTTTGTGTGTATGCGTATGTATGTTGTATTCATATAGGTTTGTGGGTGCATGTATGTATATACGTATGTATGCATGCATGTATGGGTGTCTGCATGTATGTATGTATGTATGTATGTATGTATGTATGTATGTATGTATGCATGCATGCATGCATGCATGCATGCATGTATGTATGTATGTATGTATGTATGTGTGTATGTGTGTATGCATGTATGTACATATGTACGAGTGCATTTACGTGCGTATGTACGTATGTACGTATGTACGTATGCATGTACGTGCGTGTGTATGTATGAATGTGTGTACATATGTATGTGGATCGGATGGCCTTGGGCCTTTCTCGCCACCCTTCCTGGGTCGTGGGTCTGAGGCCTCTTGGATGTTCGGTGGGATCTCGTCGAGGCCCCCGAGACTGGAGGAAGTTTTGATGCCTCTCCGGGGGGCTGGTTTGAAGCATCATGGGGGCCTCTTGGGGGCTTCTTGGAGCGGTCTGGGGGTCAATTAGGGTCGGAAGGCTCAGATTTTCGGTTCGTGTTGCCCCTCTGGGGCCCCTCTTGGGACCGTCTTGGGGCCCTCTTGGGCCGACTTTGGGCCCTCTTGGCGGCCTCTGGGACCGTCTTGGGGCGGCCTTTGGGGCCTCTTGGGACGTCTTGGAGCGTCGGAAGCTGGACTCTTGGGGTAATCCTGGGACGCCTCTTGGAGCTTTCTCTGGGCGTCCTGGCGGCCTCTTGGGCCGTCTTGGGGCCGGCCATCTTGTGCGTCTTGGGGCGATATTTCGGCGACTCGGAGCCCTCTTGGACCATCATCTACGGGGTCTCCTGGGCGTCTTGGGACCCTCTTGGCTCCGAAGAAGTCATTCGACACGATGCGGGTGAGCTCAGGAGGGATTGTTTGTGTCCGGGCCCCAAAAAGAAACCTAGGGACAATCCACTTCGTGCCACAAGGACGAGCATGACAAGGTGCATCCTCGCGACGCGCAGCGCCATGGCCTGTCACACGCACCGGCCGTTGAGTTTACCAGGCGAACCAGCGGAACAAATGCCGGGCGCGCACCCGCGTGATTTACAACCCACATCAGATATTGTTACGTTTTGGGTTGCATGTGCTAACTAATATGTACACATTCCATACCATATGCAGATGCATGTCTATGCATGTATACATGTATACATGCATGCATACATACGTATACACATCCATGTAAACATACATACGTACGTACGCGCATTCATACATACATGCATGCATGCATACATGCATACATACATACATACATACATACATACATACCTGCAGACATGCATGCATGCATGCATGCATACATACATACATACGCACTTAACGCGCATGCATACAAATGTGCGTATGCATATGTACATCTGTATTCCCACGATGAGGCATACACTATATAATGAAGAACAGATCGAATTCAGAGAGCAACATATCAGAGAACGGGACAGGTATCAGAAAACGGTAGGCGTATAATGCTGGTAAGACTTCAAAATATCGGCGAATTTCGGTACATCGCTGGTGTTGTCTTACGCGTGGCCCCCTGGAGCGCTCGACCTTTTTTCCAGGACCATCGTCTCGTCCCGCATCGGTGTCCGTGCCCCTGAGGCGCAGAGGTGGCCCCTGGATGCCGAAAGCTGAGGGGAAAACAGCCGTCTTCAGGTTCAAGACGTTGGAGTTCTGGATCCTCCTTACAGACTCGGCTCCTGCACCTCTCCATGGGCGCGTGCTGAGCAGGAGTTCGAGGGCAATGCACCCGCGTCGACGAGGGGCGTCCCCGAGACCCAGAAAGGGCGCAGCACCTTTCGAAGGGTCGTTATCCTCGGCACAGGCTCTACCGATTCTCCTCGCCCTCAGATCCAGATCACGTGCAACACCCCCGTACACAGTCAGCCCGCACAGTCTGCATGGGCAAAACCTTCCCAAGGGTGCCCTTGCATCCTTGCCTCCTCGGTCCATCCTTGGCCACTTTCGTTGGCCGCGCCCCGCTCGGAAAGCTTCGACATGGCCTTCAAGGCCCTTGCATTCTTATCGCGCATCCTTCTGATACGGGCCGACTGCACCGTAGGTCCGTCCTCATGGAGGGGCGAGAGCTTTTGACTGCTCCTCAGTTGCAGGGCGCGAGCGCCAGGGCCGTCGGGGGCTGGCCGAGGACACCTTCAAGCGCAGGGTGGCCACAGACATGAGCTTCAACATGGGCCTCGCGTCGGCGAAGGCCCGCAGCGCTGGCCAAGATGGGGCCGTGCAGGAGAAGGATGAGGATTTCCACTTCCGTACTCGCGACTCGAATTTCCAGGTTTTTGGGTGAGTGTGTGTGTGTGCTTCTTCGGGCTTCCAGGATGCTTTTCACCGCCAGGCTGGACCCTTGGGGGGAATCTTTTCAGGGAGTACCCTTGAAGGGCCTAAGAGCCGATTGTTGAAGGTCGCCATGATTACAAAGGGCCAAAAGAGAAAGTTGTCCAGAGTTTTTTCGCCGTTCTCGTGCTTCCAGGGGGCCGCCCCATGCCCCAGGACCATCAAGCACTAAGCAGGACAAGCAAACCGGTTTCTGGAAACAGCTGTGGCCATTTGGGCCCAGGAGTCAGTTCTCTAAGGACTCTTCCCTTCACGAAATGAGAGAATACTACGGTAGAGGGACACAATGAGTGACCACCCCCCCGCTCCCCTGAATTCGAAGTTGGAACGCGAGGGGAATATTGCGGTCGAAGTGCAGCTCGTTCAACCCACCGCCAACATTGTTCATTGGGGGGGCATTGACAAATGTATGGGGCATGAGCGTTCGCTAATTTATTACGAGGTCTGTACATAACTGTTTAAGGCTGGACATGCAGTATAGCTCGCTGCATACACTGCACGGGAGCCCATGCGGCACACCTGGGGGAGAGGCATGGAGGGCGCGCGGTCCAGACCACTGTCTCCCAACAGGCCTACCTCCCATGAAACCAGGGCAGAGGAGTATGGAAGGAGCACGGGAGGTGAGAGAGGGGGGAACCCCCAAAGAGAACATCGAATCAGCGCTGGAGGTTTTGCGCAGCTGTGCGGCCCAGGCTTGCTTTTGTATGGTTTTCGTCTCTTGTGTCGGAGGTTGGGGGGTGAGATCGCAGTGGAACGGAGACCCCCAACCGGGAAATCGTTTCGTTTCGTTCGTGTCGTGCGTGCGGGCGAGGCGAAGCTGCGTGGGCGCGCGAGAGGAACGAACCCACCGTTGTTAGGGCGGAGTCAAGACAAATGATTCTTCCCTTCCCGCCCGTCCGGCGGTGGCTCGCGATATCCCGCGGTGGCTCGCAGTGTTCCGTGGTGTCCCGTGGTGTCCGCCGTTGTTAGGGCGAAGTAAAGACAAATGATTCTCCCCGGCCCGCCGGTCCGAAGGTGGCTCTCGGTGTCCCGCGGTGGCTCGCGGTGTCCTGTGGTGTCCCGCTGAGTGAGATCGATCGTGAGACCGATAGTGAGATCGGTACTGAAATCGATGTGGTGTCCCGAGGTGTCCCGTGGTGTCCCGCTGAGTGAGATCGATCGTAAGATCGGTAGTGAGACCGATAGTGAGATCGAGAGGTGTCCCGCGGTGTCCCGTGGTGTCTCGTGGTGGCCCGTGGTGGCCCGTGGTGTCCCGTGGTGTCCCGTTGAGTAAGATCGATAGTGAGATCGATAGTGAGATCGACAGGTGTCCCGTGAGTGAGATCGATAGTGAGATCGATTGAGTCAGATGTTGGTTTCCCCCCCTCTCGCCTCCCACAACTTCCTTATCACCCGAGGGGTGGTCGTATAGGTATCCTGGGGGCCCAATGCTTCTGGCCGCTGCATAATCTTTTCAGGTAGTAGCGTGCGGATGCATCGCAGGTCCAACGCCTCCTAAACGAATGTTCGGGCACACTGCTTGTGAGTTGGCGTCCATGGAGCGTCGATGCGTCGCGTCTCCAGCGTAAGCCTTCGGATGGCCTCTAGGGTGAGACGTCCATGGGCACCCTAGTCACTCTAAGAGGTACTGGTGGGGATATCATTTAGGATTGTTTGGTACCTATACGACCACCCTTAGGGTGAATAGGAGGTTGTGGGGGGGGGGGAGAGGTGGGGGAGCCAACATCTGACTCAATCGATCTCACTATCGATCTCACTCAACGGGACACCACGGGACAGCACGGTACACCTGTCGATCTCACTATCGATCTCACTATCGATCTTACTCAACGGGACACCACGGACCACCACGTGACACCGCGGGACACCTCTCGATCTCACTAAAGGTTTCACTATCGATATCATTGTCGATCTCACCCAACGGGACACCATAGGACACCACGGGACATCTCGGGGCACACTATCGATCTCAGTATCGATCTCACTATCGATCTCACTCAACGGGACACCATCGGACACCACGGGACACCACAGGACACCTGTCGATCTCACTATCGATTTCATTATTGATCTCACTCAGTGGGACACCACGGGACACCTCGGGGCAGCACTTCGATCTCAGTATTGATCTCATTATCGATCTCACTATCGATTTCACTACCGATCTCACTCAACGGGACACCACGGGACACCTGTCGATCTCACTAGTTATCGATTTCATTTTTTCGGACACCACGGGACACTCTCGGGGCACCTCATCGATCTGAGTATCGATCTCGGTCTCACTATCGATCTGACTCAGCGGGACACCACGGGACACCGCGAGCCACCGCCGGACGGACGGACGGACGGGCGGGCGGGGGAGAGTCATTTGTCTTGATTTCGCCCTAGCAGCGGCGGACACCACGGGACACCACGGGACACCGCGGGACACCGCGAGCCACCGCCAGACGGGCGGGAGGGGGAGAATCATTTGGTTTGACTTCGCCCTGGCAACGGCGGACACCACGGGACACCGCGGGGCCAGCGCCGGACGGGCGGGAGGGGGAGAATCATTTGTTTTGACTTCGCCCTGGCAACGGCGGACACCACGGGACACCGCGGGGCCACCGCCGGGCGGGCGGGCGGGGGAGAATAATTTGTCTTGACTTCATCCTAATAAGGGCGGGTTCATTCCTCTCGCGCGCCCACGCAGCTTCGCCTCGCCCGCACGCACGACACGAACGAAACGAAACGATTTCCCGGTTGGGGGTCTCCGTTCCACTGCGATCTCACCCCCCACCTTCCGACTACGTTAGAATCGGGCCAGACTCTTGCGAACCACGTGTTTCTTTTCAGAAGGGCTGACAGGATGCTTCGCGGTCGATCTCTTACGGATGCCATCTGCTGTTATGCAAGTAGATGTCCCTTCCTCACGAAGGGAAATCATAGTCCCCCACCCACGATACAACAAGTGACCTTCACCTCTTTTCATGCCCCCGTCATCATCGTATGGGCCTGCAGTGTGACAGGGAGCATTCGCAATGAATTTGGATTGACAGGGTTGTATCTGTCGGCACGGCCGAGTAGTTCTCTTCAGTCTGGCTGAATCAGGCTGAGTTCCGCATCAGGCGGACTTGGGCAAGGTGCGGTCATTTCGACTTGGATTGCACCATGTCACAAACTCGGAGGGTACCGGCTATCCTGGACAGGCCAATCTCGGATCCAGGATCGGTGTGTGTGTGTGTGCCTTCTTGCCCAAGCCAGGCGTGCGCATACACAGATTTTGGGCCCAGGGTGGGCTTGGCCAAAATCGGCGTAAGTTCAACGTTGGCGCTCTCCTACGAATCCTCGCCCCGAAAAAAGTTCTGCAAATTACAGAGGCGCCACCTCAGCGGGGCACGCACGGGACCCCGCTGAAGGTGGTGCCACGCTGTATTTGTGAGGTTTCTCGCAGCGATGACAGCTGAATGCGTGCGCTTCCCTTAAACGTTTGAGCACATGCTCTCGGTTTTGTCTTGGAATTGCGGTGGTCTGTCGTCGGTGGTCCCGCGGCCACGCTACTACTTGCATGGGTGTTTGACAGCCGCGACCCCCTAGAACGCCGAGAGCCGTCTTCGTCGCCGGGCATGTCAAAAGAAGAGCCCCCCTTATCTTTGTGCTCCTCATCTGTCCTCCTTCTGTTTCTCCCCCGTGTGCTCCCTGCTCCCCCGTCCCCATTGAACTCGTACCCCCGCCCCTTCTCTTTCTGTAGTCCGTTCGCACGCATGGGAAGTGGTTGGTCGCCGGGTGCTCTGCGGTGTCATATTGTGTTTTCTTCATGATGTCACGCGGGTCGCGACGAAACCTGAAGGGATTGCCTCGAGGTGTGCTCTCCCGAGGATGATGTCCAGTGCCTTTTTGGTGCTTTGCTGTGTGGCGTCCTATGTCGTGTTGGGCCCTTGACAGGGTGTGCCAATACCCAATGCCGAAGATTCGAAGGGACCGAAGGACACTCCATTTCGTGCGTCGGGGCACGATGGCGGATGTTACACAACATTCACAACCTTCTAGGTCAAAACAGATTGTTTACAAGTGCACCTGCGCATTTCAACATGCCATCTGTGTAAACGCATTGGTACATCTGCTCCCACAAGAACGCACATGTTTCATATACGAGTCCACGCCATTTCCGCATTGACGGTCTGATGTTCTAGTGTGGGAGCTTCTTATGCGAACACACGTAAGACCAGATCGTGATGATACGAATGTCACATGTGCTCCCTTGATATTTGACGCGGCAAGATTCGGGGAGCATGTTCGCCGTATTTACGTTGGAGTTCTTCTGGCCAGATGAATCCATGGATGAGGTTCGCCCCAGTCCTCTTGCGGCACATGGGGGATACATTCCGATTCCAAGTTAGGCATCACGTATGCTTTCCGCACAGTTTGCGAAATCAGACTGCACGCTGAAGAGTTGAATCCCCGACGGAGTCCACGGATTCAGCATTTCTGCCCGGATTGGCTTCTTTTTCTGAGATTCGCCCCCCCGCCGCGGGGGGAGGAGGAGAAGGACGACGACGAGGGGGAGAAGGGTTTCCAGGATTTCCGCCATCGCGTCGTGATTAAAGGCTAGGCTGAGCTCAGCACTTCGGGAAAACATCTCGGGAGCTACGATCAAGGTGCTCTCTCCGAGCCCTGGAGGGAGGTAAAGTACACAGCATGCTCAGATCCTTGAGTTGGGTGCGACCGAAACAAATGCAAGTGCCGTATAACTAAGTCTTGAGGGAGTGTGGCCGATCACCTGCACTCGGGGAACTTGAGGTAACCTACCATCCACAGAGTCGGGTTGGGAAGCACTTACTTTTTCACAAGACGGGTAACCACGCCTTGGTCGCCGAGCCCCCCGTACACACGCTACACGACTCCCTCCCACCTTCGGTCAGGACGTGCGCGGTCGCGAAGCGTGCAACAGCGATGGAGCCAGCCCCAGGACCTCGGGAGGGGGCTCTTTCAGGCAGCGCAGGTCCTGCGCGGCTGGGGCCGGGTCGAGGTTGACTCGCAGCAGGCGTCTGCGTAATAACCGCGACGTCTTCACCGTTCCGACACCATGCCTCTCAACTTGGGGCAGACGGGCTCAGAGGGCGGCCTCCTTGGCCAGCTCACCAACCACAACATCTTAATTGATGAGCCAGGGCCAGCCCCGAGAGACAACTTCGTCCCATTCGCGTGGGAAGGGATCTGGACAACAGAGATCAGGAGGAGGAAGAGGAGGAGGAGGAGGACGAGGAGGAGGGAGGAGCAGGGGGGAGGGGAGAAGCGAAAAGGGGAGAAAAGGGAGGAGGAGGAGGAAGAGGAGGAGGATAAGTGGGAGGAGGAAGAGGAGGAGGAGGAGGAGGCGGAGGAGGCGGAGGATGAGGAGGAGGCAGGAGGAAGGAGGAGGAGAGAGCGGATCTTGGTGATTAGTTTTTTGGGTGGGTGCGGGAAGGGAGGGCTCCTGGAGGGCCAACGTCGTCACAACCGAAGTCGCCTCGAGATCTTTTTCGGGGCACCCCTCTGGAAAGCCCCACGGGGCTTCTTTTTCTAGAGGGGCCCTTCTTGTGTTGGTTTCCCTTCGGTGGGTGCGGGGGGCTGGGAGGCAAACGCCTCGCCTCGGAAGACGAAGGATGAGCGGGGGAAGGCGAGAACGATTTCAGCAGTCTGGAGTCGGAGGCTCAGGGTGTCTCTTCAGGGTGCAGGGGTGTTGCCCGGTGTCGCAGGATCTGGTCGGACGTCCACGCCGGTTGTTTGTGGCGGTCGTTGTAGCGAGGATTGCGGGGTCAGGAAGTGTGACGCCGCCTCCGTGCATCCTTCTTCGTCACTGTTCTCATGCCCCTGCCGCTTACCCCCATCCTGGCAGCTCTCTTTTCAATTCCCAAGCTCCACATCTCTGTACTCTCGGTAATCGTCTTCCTCCTCGTTCTCCAGAGGCGTGAGGCTCACACTCGTCCTCATACCTGGCCCTAGCAACTTTCTCTTGTTATCAATAACTGGTCGTGGCCTAGGCCCAGCAGAAGATCGTGAGGCGCCGGACACGCCGCATGCAGCTCGCTCAGGAGTCCGCAGTCAACATGTTCAGGCGACCTGGTTTCTGTCCGAGATCGGGCGGGAGAAGGATGAAGATGAGCTCCTCCTCCTGATCCTATTCCTCCTCTTCCTCCCCTTCCCTTCTTCCTCCTACCCCATCCTCCTCCCAGCAGCTGAAACCACGAGTTATCAGCATACTAATTCGCGAGCTAACAGATCCCAAGGCGATTTCCAACACCGGCTTCAAACGCACTTTCTCTAGAGTTATTGCATTCCAAGATGGTTTCCATCACCAGCTTCCTGAAGAAAAGTAAATCGGGAGTGGATCCCACCCAGAGGTTGATGCCAGTTTCGCCTGCTTGACGGGTTGTCTCAGGACTTGTTCCGCCCAGAGGTTGGGGCGAGCTCCGCCTCCCTGATGGAACTACTCTGGAGCTAATCGACCCACACGTTTGCGTCAGGTCCGGCCTGCTTCCTGGATTCACACCAGCCGCAGAGTAGGCATCAGGCGCGCGCAGCGGCGCACGCCGAACCACCCCCCGCCCGGCAACGAACTCGCAAGCTGAGCTGCGCCGTCCACGGTGCCAGGGAGCACGACGAGCAGCGAGCATGTCCGGTATCCGCGCCCATCGCGGCTGGATTTCGGGGCACGATCCGTCGGATGCGTTGTCGCACGGGTACGCGTCGTTCATTTCAAGTTCTTCGAAAGTTGTTCGAATTTGTGAGGCCCAGATCCTTTCAGTTCTAACTGTTCTATCCTGGGCCTCTTCCTGGCCACTAGGGGGCCAGCAACAATTTGGAACGAGCACAATGAGAAATGAGCACGATTAGAAATGGACGACGTGTACGTTCCGCGCGGTGCATCCGCGAAACAATGCCCCCCGTCCGCAGGGTCGCAGCCAAAGAGCCCAGCAGCCCGGCCCGCGAGGCCGCGGATGCAGACATGTTTTTCGCCCACACGGGCAGGAATTGCCTCGATTGTGAGATCGATTGTGAGATAGATCGGTATTGAGATCGATTGCATCAGATTGATCGAGTGAGATCGATCGAGTGAGATCGGTCGTGAGATCGACAGTGAGGTCGATTGAATGAAACGGTGCTTCCTCCCCCCCGGTATGCTTCTCGCCGCACGAAGGCAGGAACCGCCTCTCGCTCGTGGACTCACGCGCGAGGCGACTCGCACCGCCCAGATCGGCTACGCGCAGAGGGGGGCTAAGGGGGGGGAGGGGAAAGGCTTCTTCGAAGGAGGCAGCTTCTTAGAAGGCGCGGGCCTTATCTGTAGATGTAGGGCAAGCCTTCCCCCCTTCCCTCTACCCCCTGGCGCACGCCGCGAACAAGGGGCGCGCAGCGGCTGGCGTGCGTAGTCACCCTCGCCCGAGCGGATTACCTCGCAAGGTCGTTCGCCCTGCCCAGGGCCCTAGGGCGGAAGGCAGGGTGGCGTGCAGCGGCGCACGCGCAGGACCATCCCCGCCCGTTGAGCAACCCGCGACGACATGGCATTACGGCAGGCCTCCTCCTTGCCTCTGATGTCTCTTGTCAGTGCTGCGCATGATGGCGTTCATGAAAACTGGAATCCTGAACATGTTGGTGGTCGCGGGACATACGACTTGGTGGTGGCCCTCATGTTGGTGATGGTGGTGCAGGTTGTGATGATAATGGCGCTGGTGAGGGGGGTTATATTGGGGCAGGATGATGACCACGATGGCGATTATGATGGTGATGCTGGCGAGGAGGATCATCATGGTAATGATTGGCTTAATGGCGATGTACTCACTTGGCGTTGATGATGTTGGTGCTGATGGCCGTGCACATTTCAATTATTGGATGTTGGTTGTGAATATGGTGCCAGTTTTGTGTTCTCGGTGATAGGGATGATGTAGGGGTGGTGTACGTCAAGGTGCTGGTGGTGGTGTTGGTGATGGTTGTGGTGGTGAAGTTGATGAGCGAACCGAAATGAAAACAAAAATCGCTCTCGGGGTCTTTCCCCGTTCTCGTTGTCCGTCTGGCCCCTTTCTGGGGCTCTAGGGGCGTCCGCCTGGCCATGGCTGGATCAGCTTCGAAAGTCTGGCTACCGCTCACCCCAGGGCGGGTCCGCGTCGATGCTCTAGGCAGGACGAGCTCCTGGCGGCCCCCCCCCCCCAAAAAAAAACGGCTCCTGAGATTTCTCCTTGCGTTCGGCCACAGCGGGCCCTTTACCTTGGCATCGCTCGGACGTGTGGATTTCCTTGGCGCGGACCATCGAGGAGCATCCGGGGTCTCTCAGGCGACTCTCGCCGTCGCCCTCCGCCCGTGCCTGGCGTGGCCGAAACCGCCGGCGCCGGCGCGGCGCGGCACGCTTGCAACTGCCACAGCCATCCGCCGCGGCAGACGCCATCTCGCCAACGGCGACGCGAGACCTTCAGGGTGGGGCTCGCCTCTTCCCTGCCACACCTCAAATGCAGAGGGCGAGAACGGAAGGGCGGCAATGCACGGGGAATGGACGACCGAGCGACGGCAAGTGATAGCGCCCCCTGGGCCGTCAAGAGACGCCTCGGGATAAGGAGCCGGCCGTGGGAGAGTGGCCGAGAGGTGGGGGGGGCGAATCGGACCGTCGCGGAGCCAGTCAGGCCCGGGATCTGGATATATTTAAGTCGGGCATGTCCCCATATCAAGAAATATTACGGGGACGATTTGTTTGACCATTTTTGCACACTGCTGATTATGTTTTGACCATCTTTTTTTCTCTCTTCCAGAACCCGCCTGCACGAATGCATGCCCGACCTAAGCCCAGAATCGGGATAGGTCGCTCCAGAGCCTTCCGGAATTCTCGCAGGGCGTCCTGGAACGTTCTGAGGAGGCGCCGGCGCCGGCGCCGGCGCCGGGCACCATCGCCACAACCGCCAGGCCTCGGAGATGTCCGATCTAGCCCGATCCCAATTTTGTCCCGCTGATGGCGCCGGTCTACTCGGGGGCATCGATAGCGGGGGATGGGCATAGGGGGGGATGATGCATCGACCCCCAATCGCTCATTGATCGCCGATCGGGGCCCGATGGCCCCACCCTGCCCAGTAAGGAGCGGATTCACTATCGGAGGCCTATCGCCGATCTATCGGCGATGTATCGCCGGTTCCAGGTCGATGGTTCCCTCCCTATCCCTATCCCCCCCCATCGTTGCCCCTCATGTCCGGGGGGGGCGTTCGTTAAGGAATGTGCCCAGCAGGCTGCAGGCCCTGGAAGATTCCTTATCTGAGGAGGGCGGATGTGATGTCCATGGCCGAGCCACGATGCGAGTTCCATCGGCTTCCAGACCCTGGATTCCTTTTCGAAGGGTTCCTTGTCCAGCGCCCCCACCGCAGGGGCCTCAGCGACAGGAGGCGACCCCTAGCCCACGGGGCTGAGCTGGGGCCGAGACTTTCGGCTTTGGCTCCCTGTGGGACCCTCCTGGGCGCCGAGCGCGTGCGGCGTCCTGTTGAACTTCATACTGGCAACCCCCCTTGAGTCCGAGGTGAAAAAATGCCCCCACCGTCCGTAGCCATTTTGGCTCAAGCCAGTCGGCAGGAGTCTGGCACGGCGGGCCGCCCTTGGGCGGAGGATCCTCGTGAAGGCTGGGCGCTCGGCGCGGCACGGCTCCCTCGGTGGCTCTGTCGGAGTTGCTCGCGGGCTGTCCCGTGGCCAATGGCGTGTTCGGCGTGACCGCAGCGGCGATTCAGGCGGGCGGATCGGCGAAGTTGCTCGCCACGTTGGTCGCCGCCGCGTCGCGTGGGGCGGCACGGGCTCGCTCTTCAAGGACATAGAGCAGATGCTCCAGGTGGTGGGTCAGGCCGCAGGCCGCATCGGCAAGCGTCTCCGAGGCCAAGAAGCTGCTTCGGGATGGCGGGCCTCCTGGGGCCGTCCTTGCTGCTCGGCTCGGCCGGCGAAGCCCTGCCCAGGAACGTGACCGGCCATACGTCGGCCTCGCCCAGGACAATCGGGGCGTCTTCGAGGCGGCGATCGGCAGCGACGGCGGGGACGGCTCTTCCACGGAGGTCGGCGGCACGCCCCAGTCTGGGTCGGACGGAGGAGGAGCTGGGCCCGCAGCGCGTCCAGGTCGCCGTGGAGGCGCACCGAGGCGATGGCGGTCCTGGAGCTGGTCTGCGAGATGTCGGACGACACGTCTGTGGAGGCGGATATGTTCGTGAAGGTCCGGGGAGACGAGTGCGAGGAGAGCGAGCACGTGGACGATAGCGATCGCGGCGGCATCAGCGGGCCCGACAGCGTGGGGAGCGGCTTGGACCCAGCCCTGGAAGCGGCTTGCGGCGCGGCGCCGTGCCAGGAGGCGCCCGCGGCGGGGGGCCCGCCGCCCTCCGAATCGGAGATCGTCCTCGGCCTCACACGCCATGTGCGCACCTTCGTGCTCAGCTGGGACCTGGCCGAGTGGACGGCCACGGAGGCGCGACTTGAAGGGCCCATCGTGACGGTCTGCGAGCACCTCGCCTCCAGCGGCGTGCTGGACCTGCGCGTTCATCCCAGCCTTTACGGCCTGGTCCAGGAGCTTATCAGCCAGCGGGCCCAGGTGTGGCAAGAAGGGAGCAAGCCGTCTAGGCAGTGCCGCCACGGCCGCGGGATGTGCTCACGGCGGCGCGCGCGGCGGCGGCCGGCTTAGTAGCCTTTCGATGAGGGCTCGGGCGCGGGCCGTTGCTTGACACGTTCCGTGCATGCGTGTCTTCGGACGCGGTGAGGTCTTTTTAACCATATATATATATGCGTGAATATAAACAAATAAACATTTTCTTTGACAGAAAAACTAAGATGTGGAGCTTGACGCGCACCGGCCAGGCCAAGGTACCCTGCGCCGCGGCGCGGCCTGGCCTCTGCCCCTCTCTTGGCCACCCGGCCGCAGTGCTCCAGTTGCGCCGGCCCGAGAGATCCGCGCGCGGCCCGACAGCCTGTGCGTATGTTCTTTCTCCTCTGCGCGCAGACCAACCACAACTGGAGAACCTTAGCCCGCCTGGGTGGGCGGCCCATCGATGTCAACGCCCCTCTTCGAGAAATCGTCGATGCGATGGGTTCCTCCAGGGGGGTGCGGAGTACAGCCCCCGCCGTCGAGCAGCAGGTGGATTGCGTGGAAGCACGTCGTCGTCGTCCTCGTCCTCGTCGTCGTCCTCGTCATTCGTCGTCCGTCGGTCGTCGTTGTGGTCGTGTCCGTCGTCATTTGTCGTCCGTCGTCATTCGTCGTCCGTCGTCCGTCGTCCGTCCGTCCGTCGTCGTCGTCGTCGTCGTCGTCGTCGTCGTCGTCGTCGTCGTCGTCGTCGTCGTCGTCGTCGTCGTCGTCGTCGTATTCGGTCACTTCTGGCAACGCCTGTGCCTTCGCCGCCGTGGCCGCCTTCGCCGCGGGCGCCGCCGGTGCGCCTGCGTCTCAACCGCCCGTGCCAGCAGCGCGCATGATTCTGCCACTGCAAGTCCCCTGCTTGTTCCCCGCGTCCTTCGGCGAGCAAAAGTAGGACATGGACACAAGCCTGCAAATCTTTTTTTCGATTTCTCAGGTCGGCGGTGGACCCCCTTCTTCTGGCGCGCGAAGCGCGCCAGAGGCGGCGCAGGGGGCGCCGTTGATTGGGGGGAGCCAGCGCCAGCCCAAGCCATCTGCGTGGTCCGCCGGAAGCTTTTCGTTTCCCAAATGTGTGCGTGCACGGGGGGGCCCTTATTCAGGCAGGAAGCAGTTTTGCGGGTTAGCTAGGGTTTCGCCCAGTGCCTGCCTCTGCGCGTTGGACGGATGTTCCAGGGCGTTCGCTCAGTGCCCGCCTGGCTCGTTGGTGGCTTAGGTTTCAGGATGGCTTGCGCCGCGCAGCTTGCACCCCAGATGTGTTACGACACAGCGTGCACCCACGCCTTGCACCCCACAGATTGCACCAAAGAGGTTGCACCTTTTAGACAGCTCCGCATAGCACTCGCTGCACACACTGCGTCCCCCATGTGATTGACAGCACCACGTTCATACGACCAGCTTGCACCAATCCTGTTGCGTTAAATAGGTTGCACCGCACAGGTTGCAGAGCCGGCGCCACATAGCTTGCACCATAAAGTTTGCACGACATAAGATGCAATATACGTATTGCATCACGTAGGATGCGCGCCATGCATTTGGCGCCACATGCAGCGCACATGGAATGTGCAAAATCATTGCTTGGGATCCACGCTTGCAAACATGTGTGTTGATGTAGCGTTTGCTATTCGATTGCCCTCGCTCGTTCCAGTGGCCGCAAAGTCCCGCGTTGACCGAGCGGCTCCCTCCAATCCAGGCAGAGGGTGCGTGCCGAAGCTGGCGGGTCCTTCATCCGCGGCTGGCGGCGGTTCATGGACCACTCTGGCAACCTATGCGTCTCCAAGGCACGAGGGGACAAAAGCGAGGCGAGGGATGGGGAGAGAAATTCCTCCGACCTGGACTTCGAAAACAAGCACGCTGCACGTTTTGTTTGACGAGTTCGGCCTCTGGGGGCCGTTTTCGGGCCACGGGGTCATCAACAACTCCTCAGGTTGAAAGCCCCGCTTCAGGGAAGGCGTCGAGATCTCTTTGGCCCCATGTCACGCAAAACATACGGCTTCCGAGGACAGAGACAGAGCAGCCGCCGGGCGGGGGGAATAACGAAGAGACGGATCACGAGGAATGAGACGTAGGTTGAGAAGGACAATGAGGAAGAGGAAGCAGTCGGAGAAAGCGGGTGAGCAGCCGCGTTGGTTTGGTTAGTTAAGACGGCCCCGAAACGCCATTGAATTTGATCAAGCACACCAGCGTCTTCAGAGCGCGCTAGCTCACGATCCCGTGCTAAGTGATTGCCCCAAGCTGTCCTCAAGCGAACTCTGTTTAAAATGTTTGTGCGACGCGCTGCGGTGAATCAGCCCTCTCATAGCACGACGGACCGCATTCCATTTCAAGGCACGGAAACAACGATTTCGTGAGCGAGTTAATCTTGATTGTGCTTGTCTGCATCGGTTGCAAAGCGACGGGCTCAATGTGTGTGTGCGTGTGCGTGTGCGTGTGCGTGCGCGTGTGCGCATATTTGTTTGGATTTCGGTGGGCACTTACCAGATAATCCGCCTGACCGTACCACCCAAAGCTGCGATTGCTCTTCCAGTGGGTCTTTCCGAGCCGCAGGCTTTACCATTTGCTCACATGTGCGTCTCATGGAGCGTATTGGAGCACTGAATCATTCGGCTGCCGCGCGTCGCCCGCATGCCGCCTCGCGCAACCGCCTTCTCGCCGCGTCTGCACCACACCGCCTCCTTCTCGCCATGTTTGCGCCGTCTCACCGTGCCGCCGCAGTCACCCACTCAAGGATGCGGAGGCATCCAAGGGCAAGCGTCAGCATAACCCTCGCATGGTTTCAGTCCACACGTGCTTAAAACAGGCTTCTGAAAGCGGTTGTCTAAAATCTAGCTTCCCTTCTCGTGTGCGCCAGGCCTCCGGATTATGTGGGATCGATGATCCGAGCCAGGTCTTTCTCCAAGACATTGCATGCGAGGCGTTAGCGGTTGCGCTCGCCCCTTCGGCTTTTCTCTTGCCCGAATAGAACCGGAGTTGACGATTAAAACCAGCTCGTGTCCATCATCAGTAATTGATCCCATATTTGTAACATCTTGCATGGCCACCGTGCTTTCCGCAGCCACTGTGGCTCAACTGCTTGGTTGTGTAAGGTGTTGGTTTTCGGCGGGATCGAATTGAGGTCGACTTGACTCTACAGGCTTACGCCACATCCGCCGACCCCTTGAATTGTTCGGCAGCGCGGTCCTGTGGACCATCGTTCACAGACGGCAGGGCATCGGTCCAAAAAATGGAGGAGTGGTTCTCGAATGGCCTGCGGTGTATCCCGCCACCGTGTCTGGGTTGCGGTTTTGAGGGCACTCGGGCGGCTGATGCGATGTCGTGGGAGGCCTCACGTGGGCGTATTGGAGGTGGTAGTTGGGTTTCTTAGGGGGGATGTGGGCTTCTTGGGGGGTTCCTGGGGGCCTCCTGGGGTCCTGTGTGGCTCTTTCGGGGATCTCTGGGGCCTCTTGAGGGGTTCTTTGGGCAATCATGTCTTGGGGCCGAAGGCTCGAACAATTGCCCTGTGGGGTCTCCCTTGGAGCCGACTGGGGGCCCCCTTGGGCTGTCTTGGGGGGACTGGGGCAGTCCCTGGGCGATACTGAAGGTTCCTTGGCTCTTCTTTGACGTTGTGAATGCCCAAAAGGCGAATATGCGAAACCTATACGTTCAACGGACAGAATGGGCGCTATCGTTGGCGTCTCGGAGCGATGCTTCGGCGTCTCGAGGCCCTCGTGGTAGTAGTAGCAGTACTGGTCGTATTAATAATATTCGTAGTAGTCGCAGTTGCAGTGTTGATAGTAGCAATCGGTAGTAGTAGTAGTAGTAGTAGTAGTAGTAGTAGTAGTAGTAGTAGTAGTAGTAGTAGTAGTAGTAGTAGTTAGTAGTAGTAGTAGTAGTAGTAGTAGTAGTAGTAGTAGTAGTAGTAGTAGTAGTAGTAAGTAGTAGTAGTAGTAGTAGTAGTAGTAGTAGTAGTAGTAGTAGTAGTAGTAGTAGTAGTAGTAGTAGTAGTAGTAGTATAGTAGTAGTAGTAGTAGTAGTAGTAGTAGTAGTAGTAGTAGTAGTAGTAGCAGTGGTAGTAGTAGTAGTAGTAGTAGTAGTAGCAGTAGCAGTAGTAGTAGTAGTCGTAGTAGTAGTAGTAGTAGTAGTAGTAGTAGGAGTAGTAGCAGTAGTCGTAGTAGTTGTAGTAGTAGTAGTCGTAGTAGTAGTAGTAGTAGTAGTAGTAGTAGCAGTAGTAGTAGTAGTAGTAACAGTAGTAGTAGTAGTAGTAGTGGTAGTAGTAGTAGTAGCAGCAGTAGTAGTAGTAGTAGTCGTAGTAGTAGTAGTAGTAGAGATAGTAGTGGCAACAGTAGCTGCAGTAGTAGTAGTCGCCGTCGTCGTCGTAGTAGTAGTAGTAGTAGTAGTAGTAGTCATAGCAGTCGCAGTAGTACAATTAGTGGTAGTGGCAGTAGTCGTTGTAATGATTGTTGTTCTGGTAGAAGGTCGTGTAGTAGCAGGAATAGTACTGCCAAGAGCGCTGGTAGTAGTCGTAGTAATAGCAGCCGCGGTAGGAGTAGTAGTAGTAGTAGCAGCAGCAGGAGTAGCAGTAGTCGTAGTAGTATTTGTTGGTGTTATTGTAGAACTGGTGGAAGTAGTGGACGTAGTACTGCTTGTAGCCGCATTAATAGGAGTAGCTGTAGTAGTAGTATTATCAAAACCGAGTCGTACTAGTAATATTCGTAGTATTAGAACTACTAGCATTATTATTCGTAGTACTAGTGCTAGTTGTTGGTGTTGTTTTGGTCGTACTAGTAGTAGTGATAGTAGTGGTAGTAATGTTAGAGGTAGTTTTGGTAGTCGTAGTAGTAGTAGTGGTAGTGGTAATTTGTGGTGGTAATAGTAGTAGTAGCAGTAGTAATCGTGGTAGTGTGAGTAGTAGTAGTAGTAGTAGTGGTAGTAGTAGTAGTAGTAGTAGTAGTAGTAGTAGTAGTAGTAGTAGTAGTAGTAGTAGTAGGAGTAGGAGTAGGAGTAGGAGTAGGAGTAGGAGCAGTAGTAGTAGTAGTAGTAGTAGTAGTCGTAGTCGTCGTAGTCGTCGTAGAAGTATCAGGGTACTAGTAGTACTACTAGTAGTACGAATACCAGAACTGGGCGTTGCGAGGAGGGTTTCGAAACTTCAAAACCCGACTTCATCCAATGTCGCTTCGTGTTATCGTTCCAGCTACTTGGTGGGGTGTTTCGTGGAGGATTTCGTGGGGTGCTTCGTTGAGTATCCCGTGTAGTGTATCGTGGGGTGTTTCGTGGGGCGTTTTCGTGTAGTGTTGGCTGATGTGTTTTGTGTTGTGTTACGTTTAGCCTTTCGTGGAGTGTTTCGTGTGGTGCTGGTGCTCCGCGTGGCGTGGACCCTTGGTGCCTGGATTGTGGGCTAGAGTGACACGCCTCCAGTGGTATCACTTGAGGCACATCTGCCGAAACCGGGAGGGAAGAAAATTCGGAGGATGAGAACGAGGGGTGGAACGGCGACGACGAGGATAGAGGACTCATGGATGTTGATCGGGATCTCGTGGTTGGCCTCTCGGGGGCCGTCTTGAGCCAGGTTCGAGGCCTCGTGGTCGCCGTTTTGGAGCCTTTGGGGGCCCCTTTTCGGCCTCCTGGGGGTTTCCTGGGGCATCTTCTAAACCTCTTGGGGGCCTCCTGGGGACCCCTTGACCTTCTGGGGGCTTCTCGGGGCTTCCTGGCAACCTCTTTCGGTTCGTGGTCCCCCTCTAGGCTCTCTCTTGGGCCCGTCTTGGGACTTTCTTGGGCCGTCTCGGGCGCTTCGTGGGCCGTCTTGGAGGCCTCTTGGGCCGTCTTGGAGCGCTTTTGGAGGCCTCCTGGGGCTGTCCTGGGACGGTCTTGGGGGGCTCTTGAGTCGTCTTGGAACGTCGGACAGCCGAAAAGGCGATGTTGTGAAAAACGCACGTTTCACGAAGGGAATGGGACCATTTTTGCGTCGGGGACCCTCTTGGGACGCATGTTCGGGGCCTCTGGGGTGTCTTGGGAGCTTCGGAGGCCGTCTGGAGACCATCGTCGGCGTTTTGGAGTGATGTTTCGGCCACTCGTGACCCTCTTGGACCGTCTGGGGGGCGTCTTGGTGCCCTCTTGGGAAGTGTTGCTCTTCCCCCCCGCCCCTGACGCGCATTGCCCGGGACCTTCCGCGGCCGGGGGGGGGTCGAATTGTCGATTTGGGGTCCTCGATGTGGGGATTATGGGGGGGCAATCTCACACGCCTAGAGACCCACAAGGGGTCAGCGGATTTGCGATCAGCCTTAACCTTATTCTGCAGATAGTAGCAGGCCATTGTGAAGAACCGCGGGTGGTGCGTGTCAGCTCGGTATGTCGTCGTGTGCACGATCGCGCCTCGGCTGCGTTGACATGCAAGTAGCTTCTATCACTGAGGCCTCGGGTGCGCCCATGGTGGAGGTTGCTCACCACAAGACGTCTGCGAGCCAGCGACGGGCGCTTGACGGCCGAGCTAGCATGAGAATGCAGTTGGGGATTCGACAATGCCTCTCGTCGTTGGGGTACATGCGGCCGCTGTCCTCCTCGCTTGCGTCTTTCATGGGGAAGGAAGCGATGTGCGCGTGGTGTTCTGTATTCTCCTACAGGAACCTGCTGCGTCCAGCAGGTGACGAGGAAATGTAACTGGCTCTGCCACAGTGCCAAGCTCGGACTGTGCATGATCAAACTACTGAGGCTTTCGCTGCGTACCCAAACATGATATTCCGTTGGACCGTGTTGGCAGAGCCGCTCCAAAAATTTGATCCCGCAGTGATGGTGAGTTTGCGTCAAGGTAGTTACGCGTGCGGTAGACGCTAGTCTCTGCGTAGCCCGCTTTGACCTGACACGCCGCAGGGCGCGCTCGCCCGCGGCCGCTGACTAAAAAATGCGGTAGACGTGAATATGTGGCAGGAGCAAATATGATGGAGCTGACCCGGCAGGCCGCAAAAGACTTGGAAGGATCGGTTCGAGGGCACAGCTCGGACATTTTCGAGTCGATGAAAATTACGCTTCTTCTGACGGTCACTGGTGAAGGTCAACCACTGCATCTTGTTGGATTCCTTCTGAAGTCTTTATCTGCAAAAACCTGCACTCCAAATCATCATGGAGGCATGGACCAGTGCAGGGATGGGCAAGTCGTAACAACCGTCCCCAGGGCCATGAACGGTTGCATACGAGAGCAGATGATTTTTGAGCTGTGCGACCGATTGTGTGGCTCGCGTGTGCAGTATGTAAACTGAGAGTTGAGGTGTGCCTAACCACACTCGGCAGCCAATCGACTACTGTACAGATCAAATATCCTGGCACGGCGGTCGGGGGAGATCACGGTCCCGTTGCGAACATTTGTCATGGACGATATTTCCAGCTACGGAACATGCACAGAGCGGCAACGCACAGTTCACGCTGGATTGATTGAGAAGGGGCTGCGTATGTCCAGCCGTGTTTTCCCAGACGTCAGAACGCCAAAGCGAGGGACCGAGAGACGTTGATCGCGAGGCTCTTGGTGCGAAGAGCGACGCGGCAGGTCTTCCGCCAGCGCGCCGTGGCCGAACGCCGAACCTCGCAGGCCTGGGCTCAGAAGAGATGGTTGCTCGTGCCATCGTGCCCCGAAGCGCAGAGGTATCCCGCGGAGGAGGAGGAGGGAGAGGAGGAGGCATCAGGGAGGAGGGAGGAGGGAGGAGGGGGAGGGGGAGGAGAAAGAGGAGGCGGAGGAGGAGGAGGCGGAGGAGGACGAGGAGGAGGAGGAGGAAGAAGAGGAGGAGCAGCAGGAGCAGGAGCAGGAGCAGGAGGCGGGGCGGCTCCGGCGGGGGAGCCGCCCTCTCGGGCCAGGCGGGGAACCTCGGATCGAGCGCGCTCGCGCTTGCCCGAGCAGGACGAGGGGTATACGCAGCACGATCTGATTTGCGCACGGGCGCCGGCCACAGTTTCTCAGAGCAGGAAAGGGTTACCCACACCTCTACGCCCCGCCCGTTTTCCCCTTTTCGGGCCTCCCTGGAGGCCCTCCATCGTCGTCGCCGCTGGATCTGGCTCAAATCATAGTCAGAACGCACCCTGGGAGAGGTTCGGGGAGTGTATAGCGGTATCGGCGCCTCTTGGTTTCCGCCGTTTCGGTGGATTCAGACGTCGCCGCGCCGCTTGTTACGACGCGTGACCTTGCGTCCTGGGGGGGGGCGCCGCGGACACCAGGCCGTGGTGTCGGCATCGTCCACGTGGGCGCTCCGAAAACAAGCGGCGTTGCGACATGTTCTGGGCGCCAGCCAGAAGTCTCTCAGGCGATCGCAAACAAGGATCAAGGGGGCGTGGGTTAGCGACGGGTCCCGTTTCCACGGTAAATCGTTGATTTCCGCCGCCGAACGAGGTGGCACCGGCCGCATTTTGGGGGGGGGACCTCCCCCGATCCATGGATTTGGCGACCGCGCGCCAAGTCCATGGATCGCTAGTCCACGTTTGCGCGCCCCCGAGTCTCGGCTGATTCAAATCAACTCGAGATACTGCTCGCGCTTCGAGGGGACGCCCCGATTTCGGCCAAGTCCGGGGCCCCGCGGCGGCCCCAAGACCCTCGTGGTTCCCGCTGTCGCGTCTGCGAGCGGCGCCGGCGTCTAGGATTTACGGTCACGAGCATTTGCTTAGCTGAGGCGTTCCAGGAATCAGGAGCGAAATGAGGACACACACGTGCATGATTCCACGTTGATTTCGAGAGTACGCACTGCGCGAACGGTCGTATCGAGCGGCTGGTCTCGCGGGCTTGGGGGCCGTATGCACGTACGTGGTTATGCGCGTACATATTTCGTGGGTTCCCTAAAAACGGGCCCCGCCCTCGAGTGTCGAAGGAGTTGCCACCTCTCCCTCGGCGGAAAGCGGGCGGCAGCACAACGAGGCCGCCTCCGCCAGCGGAAGCCGGCGGAAGGCCAGCGGAAGCCGGCAGAAGCAAGAATTGGTTTCTCGAGCAGTGGCGCGAGCAGTGGCGAAGCGTCTTGGCTTTCCACTAGGCCCGTTTAAAAGAGACAGCGACCCGCTTCTCCTCCTCTCCTCTCCCCATTCCTCCTCCCCCTCCTCCCTCATTTTGGCACACTCTTCACACGTTTCATGGCCCCATAAGGAGCTCCACCTAATGCCCCAGTGGCTGCTCTCGCATGCGACCCCCCACCGCTGTATAGCGTTTCTTGGCCCCGTAGGGAGTTTCACCCGAGGCCCCAGTGGCTGCTCTCGCATGCTGGACCCCCACCCAGTACAGCGCTTCGTGGCCCCATAGGAAGCTCCACCGAAGGCTCCAGTGGCTGCACTAGCATGCGGGCACCCCCACCCAGTACAGCGCTTCGTGGCCCTATAGGGAGCTTTGCCGAAGGCCCCAGTGGCTGCACTCGCATGAGACCCCCCAACGCTGTACAGCGTTTCTTGGCCCCAAAGGGAGTTTCACCGGAGGCCCCAGTGGCTGCCCTCGCATGCGGGACTCCCACCCAGTACGCTTTGTGGCCCCATCGGGAGCTCCACCGAAGGCCCCAGTGGCTGCACTCGCATGCGGGACTCCCACCCCGTACGGCGTGTCGTGGTCCCATGGGGAGCTCCACCGAAGGCCCTAGTGGCTGCACTCGTATGCGGGACCCCCACCCAGTACAGCGTGTCGTGGCCTCATAGGGAGCTGCACCGAAGGCCCCAGCGGCTGCACTCGCATGCGGGACCCCCACCCAGTACGGCGTGTCGTTGCCATAGGGAGCTCCGCCGAAGGCCCCAGTGGCTGCACCGCATGCGGGACCCCCACCCATTGGCTGCCCTCGCATGCGGGACCCCAAACCAGAACAGCGCTTCGTGTCCCCATAAGGGGGCTCCACAGAAGGCCCCAGTGGCAGTGTTCGCATACGTCTCCCCCACCCAGGGCACCGCTTCGTGGCCCCATAGGGCCTCAACCGAAGGCCCCAGTGACTGCGCTCGCATTCGGTTTCCCTGCGCTGTACAGCGTTTCGTTACCCCATAGGGAGCTCCACCGAAGGCCCCAGTGGCTGCGCTCGCATGCGGGACCCCAACCGAGTACAGCGCGTCGTGGCCCCGTAGGGAGCTCCACCGAGGACCCCAGTGGCTGCCCTCTCATGCGGCTCACCCGCCCAGTACAGCGTTAGGGAGCACCGATGGCCCCAGTGGCGGTGTCCGCATGCGTTTCCCTTACCCAGTACTGCGCTTCGTGGCGTCACGGCAGATGGTTGGGTCCTTCGCCAGGATAATGTTACTGCCCCTCTTCCCCTCGCCCCCCCGATACCGGAGGCCCAGAAATCGGCACCAACACCAATATCGGAGGCGAAGACGTCCCGATCACGGTGATGGTAGTAAGTTTGGGTTTTCCGAGGTGGCCGACATCACCACCAGCACCATCATCTAGGATCCTCTTCCCCAGGTGGAGGCATCTCCCTGTGTCGGTGTTTGGTGCCCATTCTCAAGCCCCCCCCGACACTCCCTGCCCTCCTTCGAAGGAGAAAACACGGCAGAAACATACACTTTTGACGGTGCGCGCGGATTTCTTGGATCTGCGTTGGACCCCCCTTGCCCTAGCGCGCGAAGCGGGCCAGGGGCGACACCGGAAGCGCTGCCAGGGGGGTCCAGCGCAGATCCAAGAAAGCCGCGCGGAGCTCCAACAGTGTATGAGTATGTGATGATTGGACTTACGGCGCACATTCGACCCCTTGGGGGGATCCTGGTAGGTCTCTCGGGGGCCTCCTGGCAGCACTTTTGAGGCCTTTGGTGGGCCGCTTTGTGGCCTCTTGGAGCCTCTTTTGGGCTTCTGGTGGGCCTGTTGGAGCCCCGTGGGGGCTTCTTGGGGGCCTATTGGGGCCTCCTGGAGGCTTCTTGGGGCCGAGGGCTTGAAATTTCCGTCTGGTTCCCCTGCCCGGACCTCCTGGAGCCGTCTTGGGGGCCGTCTTGGGCTCCTCTTGGGCCATCTTGGCGGAGCTCCAGAAGTATATGATATATGCGTATGCGATGTTATGTTCCAGTAGCCCCCCGACACTCCTTGCCCTCCTCGCTCTCTCTCCTGGCCTCCCCCGCCCTCCCCCGCTGTGCCCCGCGAGGTGTCGCTCCTGAAGGGCTGCAGGAAGGTCGCGTTTGCCGGCGACTCCGTGGCGCTCTGGAAAGGCCGGGGAGGGGTTGGGTGGTCGTCGAGCAAAAGGGCTTTAGAAACGGGTCCTGAGGGAAAGGGGTCCTGTGTTGTTTCGCCGTATTCGGGCTCCCGGGCCCTCCACGGGCCCCGGGAGCGTCATAAATCGATTCAGGAATGAGAACTCGTTTTGTTGGATTGACACATTTCCCCAATGCTAACATAATGATACGGGCTTCGCGTAACCCCACCAATTAGGTGTTGCTTAGGTCGCCAGCCCGTCGGCGTTAGGCAATTAGGCTCTTGCGCGGCCCGCTCGGACATTACTCGCCGCTGGCACTCTCGCCTCCGGTTGCGACGCAACAGAAAAAAACACCAGCCCATCCAGAAACGATGGCCAGACGAGTTGCCTTGATCAGGGATGTGGAGCAGCATGTATTGGAATAGAGGACTGGGTAAGACGTCGTAATTACCCCAAAAGGGGGAGGATGGGGGAGGAATCGGAGGAGGAGGAGGAGGAGCAGGATGAGGAGGAGGAGGAGGAGGAGGAGGAGGAAGAAGAAGAGCGGGAGGAGCGGGAGGAGGAGGAGGAGGAGGAGGAGGAGGAGGATGAGGTGGAGGAGGAGGAGAAGAAGGAGGAGGAGGAGGAGGGAAAGGGGGAGGGGGAGGGAGAAAGGAGGAGGAACAGGCGGATGAGAACGAGGAGGAGGAGGAGGAGGAGGAGGACAAGGAGGAGGAGGAGGAGAAGGAGGAGGAGGAGGAGGGAGAGCAGCAAGGCTAGAGGCCTCTTCGATGCCCGTCGGAATCTTTTGGGATTTCGTTCCAGAGTTTCTTTGGGTCCTCTTGGGGCGTCTCGGGGGTCTCTCGGCAGTCCTGGGTGTCTCTTGAGGCATCTTGGGTGCCTCTGGGGGGCATCTTGGGGCCTCTAGAGGGTCTCTTGGGAGCTCCTTGGGGCATCTTGAGGGCAACTTGCGGGCCTCCTGGGCACCTCTTGGGGCTGCCTTGGGGGCCTCGGGGGCCATCGTTGGGCCAACTTGGAGGATAGATCAAAGGATGGGGGCTCTAGAGTAAAATCAATGATTGTGGCCTCCTTGCCGAGGCCATCTTGGACGCTCCAATCCCTTGCGAAACGCCCCCTCCAAACCCAAGGGGAGGGGTACGGGTAGGGATGAAGGCACCGCCTAGATAGCAAGCCGTCTAGCTCACTCCCACCCGCCCTCCCAACACATCAGCTACACGCTACACCCGAGCCTGAGCATGTTCAGCGGTCGCCTTTGGATGGACAGCGACTGGTAACCAACACCGGCCCCGTGTGCGACGCTGGTGCGAGGTGCGCCACGCGTTCCAGGCGCGCCACGCGCGCCAGGAACCCCTGGGGCACGAGCGTGCAAGGCACGCCTGGCGCGCCAGATGCGCTACGTGTTCCGCGTGCGCCAGGTGTGCCACATACTCCAGGTGCGTCGCGTACGGGGCACATGCAGAGTGTGCCAGGTGCGCCTGCGGACGTGACAGCACACATCGGGAAACATGCCGGACCCCACACCCTTTTCGAAAACCAATGCCCATCATTGTGTCTGGTGGGCCTGCGCGCAGCAGGCCATATGCCACCACCCCCGCCGCCCCTGTCAAAAGCCACTTGGCAGTGATCGCGTGGTGGCCGCGAATGATCCAGCTTTTGCCGCGAGGTGCATGCTGTATTGTTTTCTTGTAAGGGATGGTGGCCCTGCGCACAGCAGGCAATATGCTAACACCCCCGCCGTCCTTGTCAAAAACGATACGAAGTGTTCGGGGGCCTGAGAAACATGACTCAAGACGTTGCACCAAAGTGTATTGTGTATTGTTTTTGACAGAGATGGTGGGTGTCCGCATCGGGTTGGCCGCGCATGCTCCAAATGTGGAGGCAGAGTGCGTTTTGTATAGTTCTGTTGAGAAGGATGGTGGAGGGGGGGCATGGGATCCTGATGGTTCCTGGTTGGTTGCGGGTCGCCTGGGGGATGGAATATTTATTAATAGGTAACAGTGATCAAGACACCTTTCTAGACAGCACGCCGTCTAGCTCACTTCCACCCGCACTCCCAACATCGGTAAGACCCGAGCCTGAGCATGGTCAGCGGTCGTCTTTGGATGGGCAGCTAATGGGACCCAACACCGACCCCATGTGCGCGACGCTGGAACGAGGTGCGCCACGCGTTCCAGGCGAGCCACGCGCGCCAGGCATCCCTGGGGCCCGAGAGTGCCAGGCACTCCTCGTGCGCCACGTGCGCCAGGTGTGCAGCATACTCCAGCCGCGCCAGGTGTGCCAGGTTCGGGGCACGTGCAGAGTGTGCCAGGTGCGCCTGCGGACGTGACAGCACACATCGGCAAACCTGTCGGCCCCCACCATCCTTTTCGAAAACCATTGCCCATCATTGTGTCTGGTGGGCCTGCGCGCAGCAGGCCATATGCCATCACCCCCGCCGCTCCTGTCAAAAACCACTTGACAGTGTCCGCGGGGTGGCCGCGAATGATCCAGCTTTAGCCGCGAGGCGCATGTTGTATTGTTTGTTGGTATGGATGGTGGCCCCGCGCGCAGAAGATAATATGCTGACACCCCGCCGTCCCTGTCGAACAACAATACAAAGCGCCCGCGGGCCTCACGAATATGGTTCAAGATTACGCCCAGCAGTGTGCTTTGCATTCTTTTGTGACAGGGATGGTGGGGGGTCCGCATCGGGTTGGTTGCGCATGCTCCGAATTTGTAGGCAGAGTGTATTTTGTAGTGTTTGCCCCAACCATTATGTGGTGTTGGGGGGTTGTTTTGAAAATGCAGCGCCGCGCGTCCTCTCACTTCCTCCCGGCCTACTCCTTCCTCCCCTTCCTCCCTCCTCCCTCTTTGCCCTTGCTTTCCGCACCAGATTTCCATGTCGGCACACCCCTCACACGTTTTGTGACCCCATCGGGGGCTCCACCCAAGGCCCAAATGGGAAAGTTCGCATGGCACAGCCGCCCTATTTCGGCACACGTTTCCTGGCCCACATAGGGAGTTCCACCGAAGGCCCAAATGGAACAGTTTGCATGTCACCTCCGCACCATCTCGGCACACCCCTCACACGTTTCGTGGCCCACATTGGGAGCTCCACCGAAGGCCCCAGTGGGGAAGTTCGAATGGCACCGCCGCTCCATTTCGGCACACCCTTCACACGCTTCGTGGCCCCAGAGAGAGCTTCACACCAGGCCCCAGTGGGAAAGTTAGCATGGCACCGCCCCTCCATTTTGGCACACCCCTCACACGGTTCGTGGCCCCATAAGGAGCTCCATCTAAGGCCCCAGTGGGAAAGCTCGCATGGCACCGCCGCTCCATTTCAGCACACCGCCCACACGTTTTGTAACCCCATATGGAACTACACCGAAGGCCCCAGTGGGAAAGTTCGCATGGCACCGCCGCCCCTATTTCAGCACGCGCCTCACACGTTTCGTCGCCCCATAAGGAGCTCCACCTAAGGCCTTAGTGGGAAAGTTCGCATGTCACCGCCGCCCCATGTCGGCACACCCCTCACACGTTTCGTGGCCCACGTAGGGAGCTCCACGTAAGGCGCACACATGTTGGTACACCCCTCACACGCTTCGTGGGCCCAAAGGAGCTCCTCATACGGCCCCATTGCTTCCGTTCGCATGCGCCCACCACGCCCATGTTGGCACACCCCTCACACGGTTCGTGGCCCCATCGAGCGCTCCACCGGAGGCGCAAATGTGAGCGTTCGCATGCGCCCACCACACCCATTCTGGCACACTCCTCACATGCTTCGTGGCCCCATAGAGAGTTCCGCAGACGGCCCCAGTGGCTGCCTTCGCATGCGCCCACCGCACCCATTTTGGCACACCCCTCATACGTTTCGTGGTCACCGTATGGACCTCCAGCGATGGCCCCAGTGGCTGCGTTCGCATGCGCCCACCACGCCCATTGTGGCACACCCGTCCCACATTTCATGGCCCTATAGGGAGCTCCTCCGAATGCGGTGCATACAACGACGGTGCTCACAGCTGCATATGGTTGGGCCCTTCGCCAGGCGAACTTTGTGACGCGAGCATACAGCAGGTTCGCATCGTGTCGACGCGGCGGCAACTCCAGCGCGGGCGTTCAAGGTTGAACGCAGCCAGTGGCCCGGAAGCGGCCAAACTGTGGAACGACCCGTCGATCGAAGAACCGCCGATCGCTTGAGCTTGAACGACCCACGCTGTGCCAGAAATCAACGGCAGGTCGTCACGACGGGGAATTTGCCGCACTGCGGAGGCAGCCAGCGACCACAACCACATCGAGGACACACCCTGGGGGATGTCTTGCGCACGCCAAATGAATGTCGGCACATCAAAGACCAGCTCCGTTCTGGTTGTGGTCGATGTGGCGTCCCAGGACGGCCACATCGACCACAACCACAACCAGCGTGCTCATGTCGAGGTCGGTGGGTTCTCCCCCGAGCCCCTCCCGAAAAAAATCCACTGAATTGGTTGTGGTTGTGGTTCTCTGGCGTGCCCTCGCGTATCGGGGCAGGCCTGGAGGGGCGCGTCGCCAATAAGGGGGGCCAGACTTCGGCGAGGGCGAGGCGAAGGGGGCGGGATCGGGGGTTCGCAGAGGGGGGGTCATCCCAGGGTGGGGGTAGGGAACAGACCCAGCTGGATCACACATGTCCTTCTTGCACGGGCCATTTTAAACGATGTTTCTCCAACCCCACCCCTGTCCCTACCTCACCTGTGCGCCCCCCCCCCCGACGGGAGGGGGCGTTCGGCAGCGGGAGAACAGGCGGGTGGGGAGGGTGGGGAGGGGCGAATCAGGGACCGCAGGAGGGTGGCCCCGAAAGGGTCTTCAGCTCAGGAGCGGAGGGATCGGGGAGGCGCAAGCAAGGCTCGAGTTCGCCGAAGCTCAGGTTGGCCAACGCTTTTTGACGAGCCAGTCCTGGGCTTGGACAGTCCAGTTTTCGTGGAATGTTTGCAGCGGGAGCCCGTGTCAAATTTCAGGCTTGGACTCGTCATTCTCCTGTCGGCCCCGTCAGGCCAATTCTTACGTCTCCCTGGGAGAAGGGCGTACACTTTATATGAGCCCACGTTCTGGTGTCGAAAGTGCGCATTGCTCAAACGTTCGTATCTTGATACTGGTCTCGTGGACCGGGGGGCCGTATTCATGTACGCGGTTGGGCGGGTACGTTCTTTGTGGGCTCCTCACAAGAAGCATCCACATTGCCACCGCGGGTCCAAAGGCAAAGGGTGCCGGACGGGTGCGCGTGTCTTACCCCTTTCCCCGTTCCTCCCCGCCACCTCCCCCGGGGAGGCCTGGACCTCGACGACAGCGGCGCCATCGAGCTACACGAGGTGGAGCCAGGCCTGGCGCTGGCGCTGGCGCGGTTCAAGAGGCGCGAGGGGCTGGGCCTCAGCCTTGTCTTTGTACGAAGAGGAGCAATGCATTTAGATCATGATGCGTGCCAGTAGTGCCCAGAGATGCCCCCATTTCCGAGGGAGCCACGCGACCTCCAGGGACGAAGGAGGCCGCCAAGTACTCCAGAATTCCTGCAGCGCATCCCGAGCCAATCGCATCATTGCACCATTCTCCTGGCGGATCCGACGTTGCGAGGAGAAAAAACAACGTAGCACCGGATAAGAGTGAGGGGGCCGGTCGCGGGATGGGTCGCGGGTGGGTCGTGGGGTGGATCGCGGGCGAGGACGACGACGGTGACAACAACAACGACAACAGGAGCAATCATTTTGAGACTGTTCGCTTTTATCTGCTCGAGTGTCATTCAACCTGTATTTCCCAACCCCTCGATGCCCGCCCTCTTCGTCTTCGATCGTACCCTCTTTGGGGGTATACTTTTCTTCCATGCTGGCCAGGCCCCCCGCAAGCGGCGGGGCGGCCGCGGACCGTCGGCCTGGCCAGCGGCAACGTTGACCGGTGGCAACCCGACCCCAAGAGGGACGGACAGGAGACCGACCACGACGACGACGACGACGACGACGACGACGACGACGACGACGACGACGACGACGGCGACGGCGACGACGACGACGACGGCGACGACGAGCGAAAGCGAGAGCCAGAGCGAGAGCGACAGCGACAGCGGGGCCACGAAGGGCAGTGATGGGGCCACTCAGGGCGACAGCGGGGCCACGAAGGGCATGCGTATGGGGCCACGAAGGGCGCGAACGAGCGGGGGCCACGAAGGGCAGACAATGCGGGGCCATAGGGGGCAACGACAGGGCCTCGGAGGGTAGGTCGCTTCCGCCCCTGCGGAGAGGGGGGACACCGACCGGGGACGGAGAGGGAGCCGCTAACCGAGGAGGCACGCTGACGCCCCCCCCCCCCTCGGCCCCCCCTCCCAGGTCCCGGGGCCTGCTGGAAGGCACGCGGGCGTGGGATGCGTCTTTCGTGCTGGATCAGCCCGCCCGCGCGCTGGCTTCGACGGAGCCCTTTGCCCCACTCCTGTCGACCCGTTTCGGAGGCCTCTGGCGTCGAAGCTACGCCGACGGCGAGCCCAGAGGGCAGCCTCGCGGACGACGCGCGACAGGCTGAGCACATGGCCCGACTCCTGAGAGCTGCTGGGGGCACACCTGCTGCCCCTGGCTCTGCCTCTGCCTGCCCCCCCCCCTCCTGCGCCCCGCTCGGGTGGGCTGCTGGAGGCCCCCCTGGTGGTGCAGGAGGTGGGAGGGGCTCCGGAGGTCGTCACGATCGGGGCCACGAGATGATCTCGGCCCCGCCCTTCGCCTTTTGCAGGCGCTGCGGGTGCATTTCGGGGAGGCAGGCCCGCGGTCTCAAGGCGGACTGTGAGGGGGCCCTGCCTGCCCCGAGCCGCCGCCCCACCCCAGCGCTCAGGGAGAGGGCCCGCCGTCGGGACAGGCTCATGAGTGGGCCGGATCCCTACTCGTGCAAGCCCCTGTAGTTTTGTTCGGGGGTGGGAGTCTTTCCTCGTCCACCGACTCTGGCCGCCGTGGGCTGCGGTGGCTCTTTTTTCGGCGATCTGGGGATAGCCTGCTGGTGAGTTTCTGGTTCTGCCCAGAGGCTCCAAAGCGGCCCAAGTGGGCCCCGTTGGTGGGAACAGGCCACGGTCCGTAGCTGCGGCTGCGTGACGCGCGCCTTGGACACACACACACACACACACACACACACGCACACACACACACACACACACACACACACACACACACACACACGCACACACGCACACACACACACACACACACACACACGCACACACATAAACACACACACACACTTTTACGTCAGCGGCAAGGCAGAGGGACTGCCCTGGCGAAGTGGCATTCGTGAGACACACAAAATGCGAATTACGCCGAGATGCGCGGGAGGAAGAGCAAGGAAGCCCGGCGCGGACGCCAGGCCCGCTCGGAGCAGGGCCACGCGGCGGCGGGGCGGGCGCCGGGGAAGGGGGCCAGCGGCTGCGAAAGGCAGCAGCCGGGGTTAAACCGGGCCTGTCCTTCTACAGGAGGAATATTTAAACATGTTTATTTACAATGATAGTATGGTGACGACGTTGTTTAGTATTTTGGGGAATGTGTTTGATTATTTTGAGGTATTTTAATGTTTCGTTCAAGATCCGCCTGTATGGGGGACGTGCCCGACCGAAGGCTGGGGATTAGCAGCCAGTAGGCAGCCAGGCGCGCGCCCAGAGTGGGAAAGCAGGTCCAGCGCCAGCTGGAGGTGGGGGCAGCGCAATAGGGCGGCCGAGGTGCCGAGATCAGAGTGACCTCAAGGCAGCCAGGAGCGGCAGTCAGATTGGACCACCTCAGGTGAGGGGCCATCGGGGGCAACGCTAGGGGGGGATAGGCATAGAAGGGGGCGCATCGCCCCACAATCGCCCATTGATCGCCGATTGGGGCCCGATAGCCCCACCCCGCCCAGGAAGGCTCGGATTCATTATCGGGGGCCTATCGCCGATCTATCGACGATGTATCGCCGATTCCAGGTCGATGCATCCCCCCCTATGCTTATCCCCCCCTATCGCTGCCGCTCAGTCAAGGGTACAGGGGAAGTAATCCCAGAAGGGCGGAGCAAGGGAGGCGAGGGCCGGCCGAGGTGCCGAGGTCCGGATGGCCTGCGAGGCGACCCGGGGGGGACGGCCGCCCGACCATCCCAGGGCGGAAGGCCGAGAGGGCACGGGAAGACGGGCGAGCAGCAGAGACGGAACCCGCCGACGGACAACGCCCGTGGAGCGAACTCGCCAGAGGGGATGGCCTGGAAGCTGGGCAAAAAGGGGGCAGCGGGTGCCGAGAGCGCGGGTGGCCTGCCAGGCACTGCGCCCATGGGGCCCAAAGCGAAGGCACGGCCAAGCGCGGACGCAGACCGCCGCGGTGCGGGGCGGGCGCGGGGAGGAAGCATCGGCGGGGGCAGGGGCCTCTTCCCAGAGGGAAGCGAGGGCGGGCATGGCCGGAGCCGCAAACCGCGGCCAGCTCGGAGACGCAAGCGAAGGGGAGGTGGGGCGGGGCGGTCGACAGGGGCGAGCGGAAAAACTTGATCGCCGGGGCTGGCGCAAGGGATCCCCAGGGGTAGGACGCAGTCGGGCGGGAGGGGGGCACAGAGACCACCCGCGTCATGCAGAGAAATGAGACCGGCCCTAGAGGGGCAGGCGGCTAACGCGGGCTCCACCTGGTGGGAGGAGTCAAGGCGGCTCGCCGCTGGTGTGGCCCCGCGAGGAGAACGGTGAGGCGCCAGGGGCCTCACGCGATGCGCCCCACTGGGTGGATGCACCGTGGGCCAGGGCGGGGTAGCACCGAGCGGCGCGCTGAGAAGAGGCAGGAAAGGCGGAAACAGCGTGGGGAGGCGGGGCTAGCACCGAACAGGTGCACCAAAGGTGTAATGAGAGTCAAGGTGGGACGCCACACGGGAGGGCGCTGCCGCAGCAGAAGCTGTCGCAGTAGGGGGTATGCGCAGGGCCACACTGAACAGGTGCACCGATGTGGCGGTCGGTGGAGAGGCACCGCTGCCTGGCAGCTGGTGGCGGTCGCGGTCGTAACGCGGGGGGGGACGCGGCAGGCACCGAGGCGAGCGGCAAAACCAGCTCGATGAGGCCGCGGCCGAGTGTAAGCCCAGCCCAGAGTCCAGGTGCGAACGGGGCTGACGAGGGCTGATCCACGTCGCGCAAGGATGTGGGGGAGGACCGGGAGGGAAGAGCGGGGGCTGGCCGCCCATGTGCCAAGACGTGGAATGCGGTGGAGCGCCAGACAGCGAGGCAAATACCACACCAGGTGGACGTAATGCCTCGGAAAAGCACGCGCACACGCGCACACACACGCACACACACACATGTGCATGCTTACACAGACACGCACCCGCCACCGTTGAACTGTACGAAGAGGTCGGTGCTCTGCGCGTGCTGAGGGGATGCGCAGGCTCGTTGTCACTGTGTGCGTCCGCCCCAGGCAGTTAGAGGAGGAGTGGAGGAAGAGGAGGAGGAGGAGGAGGAGGAATAGAAGGAGGAGGAGGAGGAGGAGGAGAAGGAGTTGTGCCCTGGAGGGGCCCTTGTGCCTCAGGGAGGCCCTTATGGGCTTGCTGTCTTGTTGGACCGCCCTGTGCCTTGCTCCCTCCTATCTTCTCGTATTCTCTCTGCCTCCCCTGTGTCCCCCCTCTTGGGACGGGTGTTTGGACTTCGGGCGTGCCCTCCCAGCGTGGCCTTCGCCCTCCTCCTCCTCCTCCTCCTCCTCCTCCTCCTCCTCCTCCTCCTTACTCCCTCTCCTCCTCGTCGCCGCCTCACTCCCCTTCTTTCTCGCCTCGGGCCTGAAGCGTGCGCATCGAACCCCTCGCGCTTCGACGGACCGACCGACCGAGGAGTAGTTGTGTTTTTCGAGCCCCGACTTCAGTGATCTAGTAGGAGTTGCATGTGCTTGAGACCTTGGGACGAAGAGCCGTTTGCACAGACATGTAGGAGTCCCGCAGCTGCGGACGAGTCGAGTATAGGGATCGACTACAGAACCGATTGTTACCCCAGACCTGATTCGGACGTCGCATCTGTAGACAAGTACGCACAGTTTTCGCAGGTCTGCCAAAGTTCTACGCGTGTTCCATGGACTCGACGAGAAAATGAGCTATGGTTATGATGTCCCGACCTACTTTAGCCTTGATCACCAGCAAGACTTTCGAGCACCAAGGAAGTGCCGAGACTGGAGGTTTTCACGTGTCGGGCTCTGGGAGGCGATACTCTTTCAACACTGTTTCGACATTTTTCTGGGTGCTCGAAATTGCTTCTGGGATGTGGTCTTTTAAGTACGATGGGAGCCACAGAAAGGTGTAGGGCAATTCGACGTTGCAGTCGCTACTCCACTCGAAGGAGAGGGAGCGAGGGGGCGCCAGGGCCGCCCCCTTCGGAGGCCGCGGGTGCTCGAGCGCGCTGGTGCGGACAGACTCGCTGCTGGCGCCGCATGCTCGAGAGAGTCAGCTCGGGGGCAACGACAGGGTGAAGTCGGGCATGTCCCTCTGCAGGGGGGGTACCCCAAAATAGTCAAACAATAGTCTGGGGACGATGTTTTCAATATTTTTGCAAGTATAGGGCATGTTTGGTGTATGTTCATTTGTTGTCAAAAGTCCGCCTGTAGGGGGACATGCCCCACCAAGGGATAGTCATAGGGGGGGACGCCCAGGAACGTGCGGATTCACTACTATCAGGGGCCCATCGCCGATCTATCGGCGATTTCTTGCCGATGCCGAGTCGATGTTTCCGCCCTTATGCCGATCTCTCCTTATCGTTGCCCCTCATCAGCCCGCCGTGGACGCCAGGTTTTTCGCAGGGCAGCGAGAGGTGGGTCGCAAGGTGACTCGTCGACAGGTCACGAGGTCTGGAAGCCAACGGACATAGGCTTGCAGGCGGCGAGCCGCATGTTCGAGACAGTCAGCCCGTCGTGGGCGCCAGGTTTGTCGCGAAGCAACGAGAGGTGGGTCGCCGCGGGGTGACTCGTCGACAGGTCGTGAGGTCTGGAAGCCGACGGAGACATGCCTGCCAGCAGTAATCGCTCTGCAAAGCAGTGTGGATGTGTCATGGGTGGGTCGTTGGTGTGTCGCGTGTGTGCCGCATGTGTGGGTGGCTGGTGCGTCGTGGGTGGGCCGCGGGTGGGTCGCGTGTGGGTCGCGGGTCGACACAATGCAACGACCACAAGAAGAACAACACTGGCAATCCACGCCACGAAGAGCCAGAAACTAAGTATCAGCACATTTCTGGCTCCCCGAGGGCCCACGGGTGGAATCCACGCAACAGTACATAGTTTCGGCGCCCCGCACGGAGAGAAGCGTCAAGGGGTGGGGTGCGATCCTCATCGTGACACGGCTCCTCCTCCTCCTCGGGAGGGGCCAGAAATTGAACAGTACGGTAGGCCCTCTGCGGCGTAGACGCGCAGGCGACGCCAGCGAAGGCGGTCAAGGTTGAATTCTGCGACGCGGAAGCACCGAGGTACACGGTGACGCCGCTGGACCCGACGGAATTCAACCTTGAACGGTCGGGGCCGCGACGGGTTCAAGGTTGAACGATCGACGCGGTGTGAGAAGCCTTTGCGCGGGCCGACGGCCTACCGTACCAGAGTCGCAGCCCACCGCCTTCGGGACGTGACACTGGTGGGCCGTCCCTTGTTGTGGGTGACGTTGTCAGGATCCAGTCTCTGGAAGTCCCTAGTGGCCTCTGGACTCGAGGCGGAATGGATCGCCCCAAACGCATAAGATCTTCGACAATCCTCCGAGGAGGACAAGGTACGGATATCTCCACCCTTCCCTAGTTTTCTCCTTTTGGGGGCCTCCTGGGAAGCCCTCGTCACCACCGCTGGATTCGCTTCGATATCCTCGTCAGAACGCACCCTGGGAGAGGTCTGGGGAGTAGAGGTATTGGTACCTTGGCATTTCCCCAAGGCCCCTGATTCGCAGCGTGGGCCCTCCGAGGTCTGGAACCAATGCCACGAGGCCGGCTGTTCACCCGCGGCCGTTTCAGATACGTCTCTGGGGCCCATTGAGGGTCCCAAAAGAGCGAGAATCGACATGAGCCTGAAGGCGCGTCTTGTTTTTTTTTTTGGGGGGGTTCTTACGTCGCGTCTCCGGGGACCTGGTCTGTCCCCAAAGCTAGTGCGCGGGCTCGATGCGGACTCGATGCGGATTCGGTGTGGACTCGACACGGATTCGACATGGATTTGACACGGACCCACGCGTTCGACACGGATTCGGCGACACGGATGGTTGGCGCGATGGAGCGGACGAAGTCCCCCGAAGATGTAACATATATTGCGAAGACCTTACGGCCGGTGCCGCCGACCCTGCAGACGGAGACGACGAGCAGGACAAGGACGTTGAGGAGCAGGAGGCGGAGGACGTCACAGAGCAGGAGGGGGGGAGGAGGAGGAGGAGGAGGAGGAGGAGGAGGAGGAGGAGGAGGAGGAGGAGGAGGAGGAGGAGGAGGACGAGGGGAGGGGTCCTGGAGGGTCCCGGGGACCTCGAAATTCTGGGTCCTGGGGTGTCCCGTGGCCGAGCGTCCAGGAGGCCAGTTCGGTTCTGGAGGGGGACGTAGGAAAGAGGAGAGATTAGGATGGAGGGAGGAGGGGGGAGTGAGGAGAGGGCGTGGTAGAATGCCTCGGCTCTTGTGTGGGCCCCAGGACCCCCAGGGGGGAAGTCGTATCTGACGCGGGACCCCCCCAGGACCCTCCCGGGACCCCCCCCCCTGGCATGGGAGGGATCAAAGGGAAGGGGCTTGTTTCCCTTCGACTCAATGACAACGTTGCTCTTGAGGGAGAGGCCCTGGAAAAGCGGGGGGGAGCGGCGACGGGCCCAGGGAAGAGGGGGAAAGGGGAGGAGGGGAGACGGGCCCAGGGAAAGGGGGAGCGCAGGGACAGGAGACGACTGACCCAGGGAAAGGGTGGGCGCAGGGACAGGAGACGAAGAGACGACGACGAACGAACGACGGGAACGGACAAGCCCCACACACACGCCGACACAGGGTCGGCGGATTTCCTCTTCCCGCGCCAGTGGCGTATCCAATGGGCCCCATGGCACGTACCGGTGGGTTCCGCGCCGACCTACATGGCCTGAGCGGGCTTCGTATTCTTCTCTTTTATCTCGTCTCTTCTCTGCCGCCTCGTGCCTACATTAGTTTCTCGTGCAGCCCACCGCTCGCTTTGACCAGCGCCTGACCCCCCCGTGCACCTTTCGGCGGCAGGGATAGGGGGGGATAGGCATAGGGGGAGATGCATCGACCCCCAATCGTCCATTCATCGATAGCGGCCCGATAGCCACACCCCGCCTAGGAAGGTGCGGATTCGCTATCGGGGGCCTATCGCCGGTCTATCGGCGATGTATCGCCGATTCCAGATCGATGCATCCCCTCCATGCCCGTCCCCCTATCGCTGCTCCTCGACCTTGGCGCCCGCGGACTGAAATCAGCACTGGTGGGTCCCTGGCAGGGCACGGCCACGCCCGCCAGGTGGGCGGTGCCGAAGCTCGGCGGCTGCACGGAGGCCGTGCAGAAGCTGGGCGAATCCATGGGACCGACGCGCGCGCGCGAAGAGGAGGACGAGGACGAAGAGGAGGCGGAGGAGGAGGAGGCGGAGGAGGAGGAGGAGCCCGATTTCCAGATCTGATGCTGACCGATCCCGCCCCATCGCGGGTTGGACGCTGCATCGCCACCCGCGCCCCTCCCGCCACTGCGCCTCCTTGCAGACCCCGCGCCTCGAGAGGCCTCACACAGGGCTGCTGCTCCGGCGCACCGTCCCAGCTCAGCCTGCCCGCGCGTGGCCCCGTCGGCGGTTTCGTGTGTCGGCGGTCGCCTTCCACGGTCTCGCGAAAGAGGGCTGGTGGGCGTGACGGGCGCAGGGCGGGACCTCCGCGGCGCAGGAGGGGGGGGGTCCTGGTAGAAGGAAGAGGTGGGGCTCAAGGCTGGAAGAGGACGCATGGAAAAGGATGGGGAGGAGGAGGGAGGAGGAGGAGGAGGAGAAGGAGGAGAAGGAGGAGGAGGAAGAGGAGGTCCAGTGGAAACCCAAGACACATCAACGATGCTGGAATAAACCCTCCCCCAGGCTCCCTCTTCACAGGCCCCGACAAGGGTTCAGTTCCACTGGAGGGAGTGCCTCGTTTGGAGACAACCGTTGAAGATCCTGACGCGTGCCAAAACAGCGTTCTCGGGACTGCAACGCCGCGAATGAACCTGACCGCTGCGTCTTGACGATACCGAATCGCTCGTTCCAAAACATCGCTTCTGATACGTTAACCATGGGAATCCGGAATATTCTTATAGTTGTTTTAGACGGGCGTGCGCGGCGCTAAGGCGAGAACCGCATTTTGAAAATGAACCGCCCTCCATCCGTGAAGGTCTTGCGATTAAACGAATGTGCGCGGCGCTAAGGCGAGAACCACATTTTGAAAACGGCCCACCCTTAACCCGTGAAGCTCATGAAATATGTTGAAACGAATGTGCGCGGCGCTAAGGCGAGAGCCACATTTTGAAAGCCACCCGCCCTCCATCCGCGAACATCCTGCAATGTCTTAAAATGAATGTGCGCGGCGCTAGGGCGAGGGCCACATTTTGAAGAGCACCCGCCCTCCATCCGTGAAGCTCGTGCAATTTGAAAAACGAATGTGCGCGGCGCTAGGGCGAGGGCCACATTTTGAAAACCACCCGCCCGCCATGTCTATAATTGATGCCAGCTCTTAAGCTTCATGCTCATAATGGCAAGGAAGTCTTAGGCGAAACGCTCGGTCCGCCCTTTCGATTGGGCTCGCGGTGCGACAGGGAGGATTCATCTACAAGGAAAAGAGTGGAGGAGGAGGAGGAGGAGGAGGAGCAGCAGCAGGAGGAGCAGCAGGAGGAGCAGGAGGAGGAGGAGGAGGAGCAGGAGGAGGAGGAGGAAGAGGAGAAGAAGAGGAGGAGGCGGAGGTAGTAGGAGGAGGGCCATCTGCGGGGACGCCCCCCCTCACCCTCCCCCCTTGGTGGCCGCGGGCGCCCATAGCTCGGTCATCGAAGACAGGTTATGAGATGGACCCACCGCGACACGCACATCAGCATAGCGCGAGACTATGATCTGCAGCTCATATGTTGGTTTACACCTGTCAGAAAGAGGACGAATACGGATGCCAACGATGTCGCCGTGCTCTTGAGCAGTGGTCTCCAGAAGCAACACGAGGTCAAGCAGGACAGTACGATACTAAGTACGATACATCGGGAAGGGTGTTATACGAGAGCACGCGCGGATGATTAAGGACGACGTGTTTTCCGAGAGCACGCACGGGAGAAGTGCTATACGAGAGCACCATGCGCGTACATCAGCAAATAACTTACATCGTCGAGGAGGTCCCTTTGCAGCAGCAGCAGCAGATCTACGAGCACGATATATACGAGGACGACAGCAACGGCAGCTACGAGTACGACAACTACAGCAGTGGCACATTCAGCTACAAGTGCGACTTGCCTGGCCTCACGCCTGGCTTGCTGACACCGGGCGCATGGCTACCAGCAACGGTTCGAGAAGACGCTGGGCCACCAGAGCACGCTGGGCCAGAAGGCGGCGTTGGGCTACCAGATCGCGCTAGGCCACCAGAACACGCTGGGCTACGAGAAGGCGCTGGGCCACCAGAGCGCGCTGGGCCACGAGACAGCGCTGGGCGACGAGAAGACGCTGGGTCACCAGAACCCCCTCGGACCATGAGAAGGCGCTGGGCCACGAGCAGTCGCTGGGCCACCGCACGGCGCTGGAGTGCAAGAAGGCGCTCGGCAGCCATGCGATTTCGCTGGGCCACGAGGAAACGCTTGGCTACACGAAGGCGCTGAGCCACGAGACAACACTGGGCCACCACGCTAGGCCACCAGAACACGCTGGGCTACGCGAACACGCTGCGCCACCACGCTAGGCCACCAGAACACGCTGAGCTACGCGAACACGCTGACGCACGAGACGGTTCTGGGCTACGAGAAGCCGTGAGCCACCAGAGCGCGCTGGGCCACCCGAACACGCTGGGCCACGAGAAGGCGCTGGGCCACCAGAACACGCTGGGCTACGAGAAGGCGCTGGGCTACCAAAATAATCCAGACTACGAGAACGCGTAGCGCCGCGAGAGCACGCTGGGCTACGATACGGAGCTGCGCCACCGGAGCGCGCCGGGCCACGGGGACACGCTCGGACCAGGGGACGGGGCTGCGCCAGCAGAACACAATGTGCTACGAGCGGGCTGGGCTTCGAAAACACGCTGTGCCACCGCAGCGCGCTGGGCCGCGAGAAGGCGGTGGGCTACCAGAACACGCTGCGCCACCAGGACACGCTAGGCCACGATGCGACTCTGGGCTACAAGACCACGATGGGCCACCAGACCACGCTGCGCCACGAGAAGGCGTTGGGCCACCAGGAAAAAATTGAGCCAGTAGAACGCGCTGGGCCACGAGAGTGCGTTGAGCCAGTGGGCTACCAGAACACGCTGCGCCACCAGGACACGCTAGGCCACGATGCGGCTCTGGGCTACAAGACCACGGTGGGCCACCAGACCACGCTGCGACGGCGCTGGGCCACCAGAAAAAACTGAGCCAGTAGAACGCGCTGGGCCACGAGAGCGCGTTGAGCCACCAGAACACGCCGGGCCACCAGAACGCGCTGCGCCACGAGAGCACCCTGGGATACGAGACGGAGCTGCACCACCAGAGCGCGCTGGGCCACGGGGACACGCTGGACCACGAGACGGCGCTGCGCTACCAGAACACAGTGGGCTACAAAAGCGCGCTGGGCTCGGAGAACACGCTGGGCCACCGCAGCGCGCTGGGCCGAGAAAGGCGCTGGGCTACCAGATCACGCTGCGTCACCAGGACACGGTGGGCCCGATGAGAGGAACATAGCCGCGCAGTCCATGTGTGGATCGACAAGGGCACGCCCTGCTTTGCAGCAGAAGGCGCGACGCGCTTGGCAGCAGCAGCTGAAGTTGGGCATCGCTCATGGCGTCACGTTCGCCCGGGTCCGAGAAGCTCTTTGTGAGCACGTGGATGCAATGTTAGACATCGAGGTTGAAGATGATCACAGGCATAACAGCACTCCCCATAATATCCGCGCACACAAAAAATCCCATCGCCATCGGTGATACTGCGGGGGGGCAAGTACGGCAAGGATCGTGCGGGATCAGAGCGAGCATACCTTGAAAGTTCGCTGGACAAGCGGTTCCGAGAACAACACCCCTTGCGACTTCATACGCAGAAAACCACCATTTGAGATCTGAGAAGCACCAGAAGAGCTACCACGGTGAGACTGGCCTGCCTGAAGCCGGAGAAGACTGCGAGGGCCGAAATGAAGTACCGAGCGGGGCCGGAGGCTCATTCCATTCTCTTCGCGATGATGTTTCTTCGCGCTCTGTACTTCGACCTGCCCCCTTTCTCCCCCTAGGCCCAGGCTTGCCTCCTCGCTGGCTTTCTTGGCCTTTGTCTGGGGTTCGGGCCCCCTACTCCCAGCAGGTCGAAGCACACTGCAGTAAGGGCCACCGCGTGACTCGTGGCCACCGCATGTGCGTCGTCACGGCGGCGAGGCCACTCCATTTTTCTCACTCTTGTCTTCATCATCATTGAGTGAGAGAGTTGGTCCTCGGCCTCCCTCCCGTCCCCTCCAGACGACCTTCGCCGTCGTGCGTGGGGCCTCGGGGCGGCTCGCGCGGGCGCGCGGGGCATGCGGCGGCGCGGCTCCAGACTGGGCTTCGGCCGATGCTGGTGCGCAGCTGCAGGTAGAAGGATGAGGATCAGTAGAAGGAGGAGGAGGAGGAGAAGGAGGAGGAGGAGATGGATGAAGAGGAGGAGGAGGAAGAGGCCGCAGGAGGTAGAAGCGAGGAGGAGGAAGAGGAGGAGGAAGAGGAGGAAGAGGAGGAGGAGGAGAAGGAGGACGCCGAGGCATTTTGTTGTTTGTTCCTGATCGGCGCTGCGAGATTCCCAAATCAGGCGCGACGGATGCGGAGGTTTGCGGCCTGGCCTTCCTGCGGTAATGCATGCTCTCGCTGTTCTCCGCGATCCGGCTCGCGTCGCACGGTGCGCTTCCTGAATATGGAGAGTCTGGCCTGGCTGCGAAACCGCTGGGGCGCGAGACACAAATGTCCAATATCCGTGGTGGTTCACAGTCAAGCTTGGAAAACCTATCTAGGCACAGACCCATGTAAGCGACGGAGAAAGAAGGGTTCCGTTTCACCGACATTGGCGCGTAACCGCGTGCGGCGGAAAGTAAGTCAGACCCCCCTGAACCCCCTCTATGTGTTTATCCCCTTTCAATCGGATTTGGTTGTGGAAAGGGGCGCGGAGGCCGAACTTGATAATCCACGGGGGAAATTGCGAATCGAAGCTGCTATCATCACATCTTGATTAGTAACAACATCAAAAACGCTGAGCATGACCATGGTGGTCTCACCATAGCAGCCTCCGCAATCACGAGCGCGCACCAAGTGCCTCCCGTGCAAGGACGGCTCCAAAGGGTTACGAGCCTGCATGGGCGAGTGGTTTGAAGCCCCGCGCAAGAGAGGTTTCTTGGCCAGAACGGCCAAATACTTTTCTTGTGCTGGCAAAGTGTAGCCACGAGCCCCGAGATCTCTCGAGTCAATCGTGTGCCATGATCTACACGGTCAGTCCACACGAGCGCCCAGGATCACCATCGTCATCCTCATCATCATAATCGCCATCATCGTTATAACTTATAACTAACATCACTTTCCCCGGTAAAATTCTGGATTATCCCCGCCAGGCCCCCGAACTTTTTTTGTGGGGGTATTATTATCTCACGCACAGGGTTAAGTTGCCCGCACTAGGTCGCGCGTGAGCGCCTTCCTTTCCCGTGTGATGTGCCGCGCTGGCGGCTTGCGTGAGATGCGACGTAAGCTCGCTACGTCGACTCACGCAAAACCCGTTTCTGCGTCCACGCCCACAGGCGGATTCTGGCGGGGGCGGGGGCTGCTTCTTGCGCAGGTTCGTCGTCATTGTCCTCCTCCTCCCCCTCCTCCTTCTCCCCGTCCTCCTCATCTCTATCCTTCTCCTCATCCTCCTCCTCCTCCGTCTCCTCCTCCTCCTCATACTATTTCCTCTTACTTGCTTCCTCACTTACTTACTTTCTTACGTAGTTCCCTATTTCGTTACTCACACTGACGTACACACGAGGAGGAGGCTTCGAGGAGGAGGAGGAGGAGGAGGAAGAGGACGCGGAGGGGGGGGCAGCCCTCCCGGCCAGCCCTTGGGGTTCGTGTGGGGGCGGGGCCGCCCTTGTCCGCGGGAGCGGAACCCAAGCCACGGAGCGGTTCGGCAGCTACCGAGCGATTTGTTATGTTGCTGCCGGGGGGCTGCTGGCTGCGCGAGCCGACCTCCGCTCCGCTGCCCGGGCCGCCGAGGGCCGCCGATGGCCCCCCCCCCCTTCCCCCCCCCCTTTCTCCAAGGCGTTCATGGGGGACGAATAGGCGCGGGGGGGACGCGTCGACCCCCAATTGCACATTGACCGCGGATACGGACCCGACAGCACCACCCCGCCCAGGAGCGTGTGCTTTCACTATCGAGGGCCTCTTGCCGCTCTATGGGCGATATCTCGTCGATTCCAGGGCGATGTATCCGCCCCAACGGTAGGGGCGTTCGTTAAGAAGGAATGTGCCCAGGAAGCGGCAGCCCCTGGAGGATCCCTTATCCGAGGAGGGCGGCTGTGATATCCATGGCCGATCCACGATTCGAGTTGCACTGGCTTCCAGACCCTGGATTCCTTATCGGAGGGTTCCTTGCCCAATGCCCCCACCATATGCCAGTCCCCTCCTATCGTTGCCCCCCACCCACCTTCAGCGCTGACAGTTTCGTCGGCCTCCTTCTGTTCTTGGGCATGGCGCGGGAGCGGAGACTCAAGGCGTCAGTCGACCTCCTCCTCCGCCTCCTTCTCGACCTCCTCCTCCGCCTCCTCCTCCGCCTTCTTCCCGACCTCCTCATCATCTGCCTCCTCCTCTTCCTCCTCCTCCTCGACCTCCTCCTCCTCCTCCACCTCCCTGCTCCTCTTGCTCTCCTCCTCCGCCTTCTGGACCTCCTCCTCGTCCTCCTCGACCTGTTTCTTCTCGACATACTCCTCCAGCTCTGTTCTTTGTCCTTATAGATAACTCCTCCCTGTCGCACCCCGAGACCGGACGAAAGGGCGGGCCGGGAGTTTCGCTTGAGATTTCCTCACAGTGTATAATCCTGAAGTTTGAAATGTGGAACAGCTTCACGGACGTCGGACGGTCCGTTTTCAACATGTGGTTCTCGACTTGGCGCCGCGCACACTCGTATCAAGAACACGCAAGAATTTAACGGATGGAGGGCGGTCCGTATTCAACATGTGGTTATCGTTTTAGCGCCTCGCGTATTCGTCTTAAGAAGTTGCAACAGCTTGGCGGGTGGCGGGCGGTCCGTTTTCGACGTGTGGTCTTCGATTTAGCGCCGTGCACATTCGTTTGAAAAGTGTGCAAGAGCTTTACGGATGGAGGTTGGCTCCTTTTCAAAATGTGGTTATCGCTTTAGCGTTGCACACATTCGTTTTAAGAGTTCGCAACAGCTTCAAGGATTATCATGGCTAACCTCCCAGAAGTGGTGTTTTGGTACGATGTCGGAGCGTCGGGGCGCAACAATCACGTTGATCCGCTGTGTTGAAGCCTCAGGAATGGTGTTACGGCACGGTTCAGGATCGTCAAGACGCAGCAGTAACGGTGATTCGCGGCGGTGGCGTCCCAGAAGCGGTGTTTTGGCACAGTTCTGGATTTTCAAACGGTTGTTTTCCAACGGGGCACCTCCTGTGAGGAGGGGACTTGCGGGGAGGGTCTACTGCACGCCGCCCTGCTCACGCGGTTGGCCTCCGCGGTGGCCCGCGTTCCACGACGGGCCCGCCCGTGACGGCGAGGAGGGAGGCTTCCCACAGGGCCAGAGGCCTCACGAGCCTTCTCGGAAGGCCAGCCCCTCCAGAGCGCCTACCCCCCCCCCGGGAGTGGATGCGCTGGGGGCGTTCGTTGAGAAATGTGCCCGGGAGGCAGCAGGCCCTGGAGGATTCCTTATCTGAGGAGGGCGCGGGTGATTTCCAGGGCCGATCCACGGTTGGAGTTCCACCGGCTTCCAGACCTTGGATTCTTTATCCGTCGCCGCGCCGTTTGTCCCAACGCGCGGCCTTGCGTCTTGGGGCTGGCGCCGCGGGCACCAGGGAAAACTCCGCCTCGGACGCAAGGTTTGCAGTGAAGTTTGCCACGGTGACGGCTTCGTCTATTTGGGCGCGCTCAGAACTCACGGCGCAGCGACATCTGAGGGTCGACTGCACCGTAAGAGTGACCTCTCGCCGGAGTGGCCCTTGGGTGTGGGCACCAATGTGGTCTCCCGATCGCTGAAAGCGACGCGCTAGCAGCGGCTCGCGCGCCCAGGTCTGGCCACCTCGCATCCCCCGTTTAGCCGCGCACCGAAGGTCACCCTCGCCCTAGGGCCAGTCTTGCGCGTAGCCGAAAGAAGCCACGGCGGGCGCGCTCCCCCCCCCCCGCGAGGCCTGGGCCAGCGCGGGGCCGCCCTGAAGCTGAGCGTCGACGACCTGGCCGCGTCGCTGCGCTCCAGCGGCTTCCCCGGCGTGCCCGGGCTGCCCGACAGGGCGGCCGCTGCGCTGCTCCACGAGGCTTGCGTCGCGGGCCGTCGTCGTGGTCGTCGTCGTGGAGGTGGTGGTCGTCATCGTCGTTGTGATCATGGCCGTGGTCGTCGTCGTCGTCGTCGTCGTCGTGGTCGTCGCGGTCGTGGTCGTCGTCGCGGTCGGGGTCGTCGTCGTGGTGGTCGTCGTCGTCGCTTGCGTCCACGTCGTCAGGGTGAAGTGGTGGGATGTTTTCGGGTGTTGGGCAGTCATGGCAAATGCCCCTGGAGCAGCTAGGATCACCGCACTAGGTTTGATTTCTATGAAGTGTTGCCGCTTCCCCCTGGGCTGGGACAAGTAGAGGTGGAAAGACGAGGGAGGGAGGAACAACAAGAGACGATAGGAGGAAACGAGAGGGTGGATTCTCACTCAGAGGGACGGGGGTCGCGTAAGAGTCAAACGTATGGAGAGCTACGCAGGGAGGGGATGAGAGTGGTGAGGTGAGGAGGGATTCAGATAACGAGTATGGAATGCAAGGGGAAATAGACGCGAGATTACGAAAATGGTGGATGCTGAGAAGGGACAATGGAGAGGATTGGGTTCAGGGAAAGCAGGGAGAGGAAAAGCAGGGAGGATTGGGTTCAGGAAAAGCAGGTGATGGCGTGCCGCCTCGGCATCGCCATCATGCAGGCGCTCGCTGGCCTCGGCGGGTGGGCTTTCGGGGACGCGTTCTCTCTGCCTGGGGCCCACCTGGGTCCTCCCCCCCTTCCCTCCCCTTTCCCTCCAGCGGGCGGCGGCCTGGCGGGCGGCGGGACGGACTTCGACGACGCTGACGACCTCCCTCCCCCTCCTGGTGGTGGTGGTGGTCCCCTGTGTGCTGACAGTCGTCCTAATCAGCTCTGGATCAGTCCTGTGGTCCACCGGCCCTTTTCCTGCTTCGCGCCCGGGTCTCCTGCGGCCCGGGGGCTTCCCAAGGTTTGAACAGCGCTACGCGCTGTTTTAAACAGCAGCTAGGGCAAAGGCACCCTGCTGCTTTCATTTCTCAATGAGGAAATGGAGGAGGAGGAGTTGGAGGGAGAGGGGGTAGAGGAGAAAGAGGAGGATGAGAGAGGGATAAGGAGGAGGAAGAGCGACGAGGGACGAGAGGGCGAAAAGACGAGAGGAAGAAAACCATGAGGGGGAGGAATCCTTGGATTCCCCCACAAGCGCTGGCAGTGCCACCTGCCAGCGATCGGCAGGCCAACGACCAGTGGCACCGTCCTTCACGGGCCCTGCCGCCTCGCTGGACAGCCCTCTTTGGACTTACATCGTCATTCGCAGCAGAGGCCTGGCATTCGTGGAACAAAACATGACCCAGGAGGGAAACAACACACACACACACACCGACACAATTAATCGTCGATTCCCTAGAACGTATGTGAAAATATGGGAAGGGGGGCAGGCGAAAACCCAGAAACTCTGGGAAAATTGGGGGAATCCTGTGTCTTTTTATTTGTGTGTCCCAGGGCCCCTTCAATGACATCAGTGTAAGCGTTCGGAGGTCTGCGCGGATTTCTCGGATCGGCGCTGGACCCCCTTCCCTGGCGCGCGGCGCGCGCCAGGGGTGGCGCCGGAGGCGTCGCCAGATCCGAGAAATCCGCCTGTACCTCCGAAAGCCTCTGCTCATGTCATTGCATCGCTTGCTCCCCCAGGCATGGGCTCTGCGGGTCGGAGACGCCCCCTGGTACGGCTGGACCACGCGTGGCCTCACCATGCCCCGGGCCCCCCGCGCAGCCCGCAAGCCTCACACCGGGGTGGGTCAGAGCCAGTCCGCCAGCCAGCAAACCAGGGGGCGGGTCGACCCCACGATCGCGGCCACATGCTCAGCAAATGCAGCGGCCGAATCTGCATTGCAATATGCCCACGCTCGGAGCTGTTTGCTAGGAGATTGTGCACACACACACACTCACACACAACTGCAGACAGGACTGCACGCACTCTTTGCGCACTGGTGAGAGTGCGAGGCAGAGGAGGCGAAAGAGGGGGAGAGGGTACGAGCAGGAGACTGGCAGAGAACTCTCAGCACGCACATGCACACGCTCCTTCTATGCACCCTCGCTTGATGCTGCCCCGATCCGTAGACAACGTCGAAGGGAACGCCCTGCGAGCCGCGAGGGGCGGGCGAACCCGACGATGACGATCTCGAGCTCGAGCCAGAAGGGATATCATACCTGCACTCGTTGCTGGCCGGCTGCATGTGGCACTTTTTGTTTAACCGTCGCAGCCCGGACTCGCATGGCCACGTCTTGTGGATTGAACGGGGGCGGCCACTCGGCGGGCGCCAGGCGGCCCGCTTGCGCTCGCTTGCCGCGCCGCGGCGGCGTCGAAAGCCGCCAGGCCTACTTCCTTTGCCGCAGGTCTCACAGTACCGAGCTCGGCTGCCTTCACGCCCTGGATCTTTGCCTTGCCGGACTTGATGATGTCGAGTTTCACGGCCGCTTGCAGGCGCCATGTGGCTGCTCGCAACGCGCGCTTCAGCACCACGTCCTGCTCGGCGGCTGCCAAGGCTACGGGGCGCGCAGGCGCCAGGTGCGGCCGCCCTCTGGGCAGGCAGCTGCGTGCGCGGGGCCCGCCCGATCTGCAGGAGCTTTTGGACGTCACTCGCACCGTGATGCGCGGCGCTTTGCGCCCACTCGCTGCCGCCGCCCTCTCCGCGCCATGTGCACGGGGCCCAAAGGTATGGACCACCACCACCACCTCCCTCATCCCTTCCCTCTTTTAGGAAAGAGGAGAGGAAGATGAGAGGAGAGAAATCGACGTGGTGGTGGTGGTGTGTATGTTTGGGGGCCCGCAGTGTGCTCCCAGCGCCCTTGCCCATGTGAAGAAAGGCGAGGCGGACCCACGAGCGGGCGCCCGCGCCCCGCCGCTCGAGGAGGCATGGGCTTAGGAGAAAGAGGTGGAGGGTTTCTCCGAAGGGCTTAGGCGACCCGTCCTACACCTCCTCCTTCTCCCTCCTCCTCCTCCTCCATTTCCTCTTCCCCCTCCTCCACCTTTTCCTCCTCCTCCTGCTCGGGTCGCCTACGGCCCCGGGGGAAACCGTGCAGGAAGATGAGGGCGACGACGAAGATGATTACCACGACCATGTTTACCACGGAGACCAAGCCGACCAAGAAGAGTGCCACGACTAGGGCAGCAACGCACGCGACCACTACGCATACGACCATGACAAGTGCGACCACGACAACCACGCCGACCATGCCACCACGAATGCCAAGACGAGCACGCCGACCATGACGATTATGACGACCACAACCAACACTGCGACAACCAGAACGAAGTCCAATACGACCACGACGGCCACGAGGACCTCGACAACCACGACGCCCACAACGACACGAGAACCCTGACGGCCACAACCACAACGACGACCACGAAGGACGGTATGACCACGACGACCACGGCAATTCGACGTCCTTGACGACCACGATGAACACCACTACCACGGCGACCACTACGACCGCGATGACCATTACGACCACGGCGACCGCGTTCACGGCGACATCTACTCTGACGACCACAACGGCCAAGACGACCACGAGGACCACAACGACCACAATTACCACGACGTTCAGGACGACGACCACGGCGACCACCGACAGCACTTCCAGCGCAACCACCAGCATGACCGCAGATCATATCAAACCGACCAATGTTACATACAACAGCCTGCAGTTACCCGCTTCCACTTTTGACAGCATCACCATACCAACCACTACTACCAACACGGACGCTTCGACAGCAAAACCAGCACCACCATTTCGACCAATACTAACAGGACAGTTGCCAGTACAATCGCGAGCAACACCACCGGCACATCTACTAGACGACCGAACACGACCATAATGACCACCAGCATTACCACCTACAGAATTACCAGCAAGATCACCAGCGCACATAACCACCAGCGCCACCACCCGATCGACTAATTGCACATTCAACCACAAAGCCACCAGCAGAGACCACAATAAAACCACCAAAGCGACCGACAACACCACCACCAGCACGACTGCAGAACCAGTAGCAGTACTTCCAAATCAGTCACTAGCACGACAGGCACCAACTACGAGCACTACGCAAAACAACTAGTCGCACAACCGCTCTATAAGCAACCCCGGCATACCAAGCAGACCGCACACCTTTAGCACAACATCAGCAGCCAAACCAGCTCCAAATCGACCCGTTACATGGGGGAATGCAGGAGGTCCCGCTTCATAAGATGAACGGCGGCAAGCGAGGCATACCCAGGGGAGAGGGACCAAGGGCGTTGTACGACAAGGACAACTCCAACGAGCAGACCGCCTCCAACTTCAATCAGTAGCGCTTCAAACAGCAAAACCACCATCGACCAGCAACCAGTTACCACCACGCAGGAGAAGTCACAACGACCAATAGCAGCAAAGCAGACGACATCAACATCGTCAGGCTGGACCCACAGCATAGCCCGCCCCATACCCCACACGGCAGCCCATGCGCCCATGCGGCATACTTGTGGGAGGGACATGGAGAACACGCAGTCCAGAGGATTGCTTCCCAACCAGCCTACCAATGACCACACCAATGCCAACCGCAACACCAGCGCAGTCGACCCATGATTCCTATTACATGACTGACAAATCACCAGTGCCCGACCCACGTCTTGCAAGGGGGGCCACAGTGGCATTTCTTGGGGAGGGGCTGTAGGGGCAATCCGATTCGAACTAGCGTGATAACTCATAACCAGCGGATCATATGCCCCGCCCGCCCTGCCCGCTGCACGTGCCCCCCGAGCGGCATGCCTGGACGAGGGGCATGTAGGGCGAGAGTGGTGAATGCTTGTTGTGTTTGCACTTTGGCAGTCGGATTACCTGCTCGACTCAGAAGCCCATCGACAGCACCACAACCACATCCAGCGACATGACCTCATCAATACCACTCTGCCTCATACTACCTACGACAATCAGCACAATCAGAACTAACACGTCGTTACCTCGACCACTGCTACCAGCACAACCTCTACCGCATGACAACCAAAG